GGGTCGAGAGAGGGCATGGAGGGCGTGACTGAAGGCTTGAGAGTCTCAAGCAGATGGGAAGCAGTTGACCATTCAGATCTGCCTTGAAAGGTTAGTGTTGTTGACTGGGACATGAATTTATGTAGGCAGGATGTTACCTTCGGATAGCTCTCCTGAGCTTAATGAGACCAATGCAAAGTACCAGGAATTGGTGGAATTTCAGTGATTTGTACACTGAGGGGTCGACAGCTTCGAGCATCTCGATGGCCTCATCATAGCGGCCGCTCTGGCTTATGACGAAAGCTCGGCGACCAATAGCACGGAGACGTTCTTCGATCGGACAGGAGTGTGAGTAACAATCGAGGAGAAGATCACAATGGATGTTGGCGAGATGCGGGATGCCGAGTCGCTGATAAAGGGTCGCTGTCAGCAGCATCTGACTACCGTAACTGTTGACATTCTCCTTGATGTTAAAGTGTGAGGACTGGTAGATGTGTTCTAGTGCTCGGGGTATAGAATCGCCCTATTGATGTTAGCTCTGATGATCCATTCATTCGAACGAGAGTCACGTACCATTGTTAGAGACAACTTTGCCTCGTTTAGTAAAGTTGCACTGAGCAGACTGTACATTCTGGCCTCCTTGGCTTTGGCTTTCAGAAATGTCAACGCATCCCTTTCAGTTCCCAGCATGCTCATGTAACCAACACCCTTCATCTGTTTGGGATAGGCCTTTGCCATATGATTCAGCCAGCTAAGACTGAAGCTCAGGCAAGTCATATCCTGATTCTCTCGTGCTGTAGCAATTGTCTCATTGATGGCAGCAATTGCTTCACCAAAACAGCCAAAGTCGGCTTGTAGGATAGCCATGTGTAGCAGAGCATACTGGTAGTGAATTTTCTCACGCGTCTGCATGGCATAGTCGTAGTATCGGTGTAGGTTGTCAAACGCAGACGTGTAGTCTCCTGCTTTCCAGGCATCGAAGAACTGCACGAGATGCGCTTGCCGATGCACTATGCCCGACGAGCTGACCATACTACGGAGCTGGCCCTTCATCTCGTCAGGAACGCGGTCTCCAAATCTTTGAAGTCGGTCGAGTTGGAAATCCAGTATCCGGTCCAGATCATTCAGACTCATACCTGCACCCTGCTCTTGATCCTCTTCCAGATGTCCGTACGCGATCTCATACACATCATCGCCACCTTGCAGGCCCATCTCGGACACCACCATGTCCACGCCACCTGACGCGAGGCCAGCCAGCCTCTTCGTCCATTGGGCGGTTGGGGCCCTGTACCTGATGAACGAAGACCAGAGCTTCATCGAATCATCAAACTGTAGCCTTGTGAACTCCAGATGTGCTCTACGGACGAACGCTCCAAGAGGAGATGTCTTGGAAAGATAAATCCGATCTAGCGACTCTTCGTCTTGTAAGCCGGGTGGCGGTGGAGTAACCAGATCCAAGATACTGTCGAACAGCGCGTGGAGTGCATCGAAGGAGTTCATTTCCCACATGTGCTTGAGGAAGAGATCGAGAAGAGTTCTGCCCGGCATGTTTGACGCATGTTCCGAAAGCACATCTTCAAAGGCATCGATTGAGAAAGATGTATCTTGTTGATTGGAAGTGGCAGAGCGCTGTGGCCGAGCGCTGGATTGTGCTGGGGGTAAATTGTTTGACAAGATGAAGGAAAGTATGGGTATCGTAGCGGAATCAGGAAGACTTGAACTGCAGTAAAGACGAGTCAGAACAAGAAGGCTGATCTTCTGCGCTGTGAGGTAGCGCGGGGTAGCCATCTTTGGTGGGTGAGGCTTGAAGTTCGTAGCAGAACAAAGCGTTGGGCGCAGAAGATGTGAGTATTCGCACTTATTGCCGGCACGAAAACTGTTGTGATGTTGGTTCGCGCGACATCTGCACTGCACTCAAGCAAAGCGATAGCTGGTCTATTTGTCGAGGCTGCAAGGTTTAAGATGGAGTGTTTGTTGGAAGTCGTGGGAGGGTGTCAACAGCCGAGGCGCGCAGCGCGTACCTGTCGCGAAGTCATGCGCCTCAAATATAGTCCCGCTTACAGCTCAGTCTAGGATACTGTTGCCAAACAATCATACTACATAGAAGTCGGTAGCGCAGAAGTACTAGGAGGTTGTGCAAAAGACTGTGCAAGTTTGTATTCAATATATACATCTATGTAATCTTTTGTCTTGACCCCTCACCAAATCCGGAGTCTTTCCTCGTAATGTTCTTGAGATCGTTTTGACTAGACTGCAGTTGCGGCACTGGAGCGCTGTTCAAGAAGTCATCCTCGCTAGTTGCGTTGGTTGCCCAAATCTTGCTGATGCTCAGATCGTATGGCCCGGGTATCCGGTCTATCAATGAGATACCCACTGTCCTTACCTTTTGTGTCAACATCTCCCTCTGTGGCTCTACAACCTGCCCATGGTTCGTCCGCACAAACTCGTTCCACTTTATCAGGATCGTCTCCCACTCGCCAGGTGTCTTGGAGTGCAGCAAATGCTGGTGAATATCCGTGGGCACAATGGACTCGGTCTGCACGTTCACAAAGTACTTGCGACCGTCCGACTTGAACTGAATTGCAAGGAAGTTGTACATGGTCACGTCCCACAATGACTTGCCGAAGATGGTTGAGCCTCGGTCAAGTGTTCGCCATCCCGCATAGCCCGTTCTTTGAATGTGTGGTTGGTTGTGTGGTAGTTGTGTGGATATGGTACCGTGGAAGCGGACGTGTGAGGGCTCGGTTTGGGTGACAGGATGGTAGTCGAAGTTTGCAGTGGAAAAGCCGCCGATGTCTTTGTCGCTCATGCGCTTGCATCGTTCCAGGTCCTCAGGCTGGTTGAAGTGGATCAGAGGGAAGGGCTTGGACGGTGACCTAATGCCTTCGAGCTTGAGTGCTGCGGAGATTAGTGGCGGCGCATCCAGCACATGCAACTGCGGAGCTCACCGAAGTTGGAGAGGCGCTTGAATTCGTCCAGACTCCGCTTCAGGAAGCCTGGCGCGAGGCAGGCCGAGGTCGGTCGCATGATGGCGTGAAATGTGTGGGAGATTTAAAGGGACAGTGCGTGAAAGCTGCGGGCGCAATGGCAGTTGGACTTGGATGAGCGCACGACGCACTGCAAATGACGCCGCGGTAGTCTCGCCAGAGGCTAGCCGCTTTGGTTGACCATACCAAAAATCTGGGGACAGCTGCATGGGCAAATACATCCCACCACCTCTGCTGACTGACGAGACAAACCCCTCCAATGACACACGATTAACCCGGCGTTTCTGACACTTCCGACTATTCATCTGCGCGTGCCTCCCTCAACCCACACTGCCATACTTCGCCACGCGCCTTCTCTGCCTCGATGACACTGCAAGAAGCCTCCAGGCGTCGAAGTATTCGAGACGACACAACCCAACCGCTGCAGCCCCTCCCGCCGTTGTCGCGAGAGTTGGGAGAAGTCACTCCCCCCAAACAGCCAGATGGCGCACCGGTAGCGAAACAAGATGCCAAGTTTGGAAAGTCATGGGCGCATTTTGTCGCTGGAGGGTAACATCACCTCCGACTCTGCATCATGACTCTAGGACTGACATTTGAGCAGCCTCGGTGGCATGGCCTCGGCGACTTTGACAGCCCCGCTGGATGTCCTGAAGACTCGTCTGCAATCTACCTTCTACCAACAGCATCTCGCCGCAATGCGTTCCGCCCGTGGCCTACCCCCAATCGAAACCATGTCCTTCGGTCGCAGCTCGCTCCTACACATCCGAGAAACTGGAGAGATATTATGGCAGGTTCCCAAGGCAGAGGGATGGCGGGCACTTTTCAAAGGGTTGGGTCCCAATCTTATCGGCGTAGTCCCCGCACGCGCAATCAACTTCTTCGCATACGGAAACGGCAAGCGGCTGATCAGCACACACTTCAACAATGGCCAGGAGGCAGCATGGGTGCATCTCTGCAGTGCGGCCGCCGCCGGTATTGTGACTGGAACCGCCACCAACCCCATTTGGCTTGTCAAGACGAGATTGCAACTTGACAAGAACACACACGCGGATGGCCGCGGGCGGCAATACAAGAACGCATTCGACTGCACCATGCAGACGGTACGGAAAGAGGGTGTTCGCGGTCTGTATCGCGGATTGACTGCCAGTTACCTAGGTGTTACTGAGAGCACATTGCAATGGATGCTGTACGAGCAGATGAAGCTATCGCTGGCACGGAGAGAAGAACGTGTCATCGCTAGCGGAAAACCACCAACTGTTTGGGACCAGACTGTGGCGTGGACTGGCAAATTGACGGCTGCCGGATCAGCCAAGTTCGTCGCTGCGCTCATCACGTATCCACATGAGGTTGTCCGAACACGTCTAAGGCAGGCACCAATGGAAGACGGCCGACAGAAGTACACAGGCCTCGTTCAATGCTTTCGATTGATCTGGAAAGAAGAAGGCATGGCGGCGCTCTACGGCGGTCTGGTGCCTCACATGTTCCGCGTGGTACCCAGTGCCGCCATTATGTTCGGTACCTACGAAGGTGTACTGAAGTTCCTTGGAGAGAGCAGTAACATGTGATGAGTCGACGTCTTTGGCATACGGGTGTAGATGAGTACAGGTTTTGATGCATAGAAACGGCGTTATGAAAAGTTGGGACCTTGGGACGCGTATATGGCGTCTTGTATCACCACTCAGCTCTGATTGAGCATGTACTTGTATAATGTTGGTTACACGGGAGCATATACGACGACATGAAATCTGTGGATACGGTTCGTGGTAGACATTTGAGACCAGTAGCAAGCGTGTGAAGCTCTTCTCTGGAAGAATATCTCTTGTAATTACAACGAACATGTTGCATTGCACATTATTGTTCTTCTTTCAATCTGCGGCTTGCAGTAAATACGTAGTTTCAAAAGGCACCAGTGCAGGGCCAATCGTACTATGCGCCTCACTAGCGCGGACTTCCCGCCCGAACATCGACTTTGACATATTGAACATCCTCATCGCGAACGCCCGACGCTCGCCCCGAGCACAAGTCCTGCCCACGATGTCTTCACAACTACCGCTTCGGAGTACACGAATACCAGCGCTGCAACGGCAATGCCTCTTTCAACGCCACCGAATCCTCCTCCGCTCCGCCCAACCCGCCATAACCCATCCATCCTCCCGCCGTACTTTCTCCAGCACTCCCTCACGCCCGAAAAAGCGTAGCCAATTCGGCCAGGACAAGGCGCAAACAAGAGCTGCTGCCGAGACTCAAGTTGCGCCTTCCCCGAAAGTCAACTTTGATCGTGCGCAACGGGATGCAGATGCCATGGCGGAGGATATTGGTATCTTGCAGAACACAATTGTGAGAGCATCCTTTAAGGACGTGTGGGAAGAGACAGACCATATTAAAGATGTCATGGGATATTACTGGAACTTGATCAAGCACAAGGGAATTGCTCTTTATTCGTAAGTTGGACTTTCTTTGGGTTGAATCCTGAGTGAGAGCCTCAGGGAAGGGAATAGAGGGGCAACAGGTTCAGACTTGGTTGGGGAGCTGCACAGGAACTCTAAGATCGGGAGCTGACATGATTACCCAGACGATACTATTACCGCGCGTGCATTCAAAAATCCGGCTGGACAAAATACCTACCCGTTGATCCATTCAACAACACACAATACAAAGTCCTAGCGCAGAGACACTACAAGCAAATCCAGCAATGCTTTGCCAAGTACGTCTCTGCACTTTCTCTCCAGTCCCGATATGCCCCATGTATATACACGACGGACTAACAAATCCAACAGAGGCAACATAGGCCCCCTCGAGCAAATATGCCTACCTCCCCTCGTCAAGAAGCTCAAACAGCGTGTCGCCGCCCGCGGAGGCAAACTCAACATGTCCTGGCACCTCCACAAAGTCAAATCCACACGCGTAGTCTCACACCGCGCCGCACCTCTGGGCGAAGAACAACCAGACTCAGCTTACAGACAAGTCGTTGTACGAATCGAATCCGTTCAGTCGCTCAAACGATCCGATTCTTCTTCGTCTAAATTTGCAAAGTCATCCTCTTCGCCACGCGCTGTCACTCCTCCTCTCCCCTGGGTCCCGGATGCCGTACGCCAACGAGCTGAAAAGGCCCGCCAACGGATCCAGAAGCTAGAAGACGAGGGCGAGAATGTGAACCAGGTTGTCAAGAGCGGCGACAAGTATGCGGACAATGGAGTGCCCAAGACAGTGGTGGAGTATCTCGTATTGCAGAAGAGGGTTGTCAGAGGGGTAGAGGAGGATTGGAAGGTTTGGGGCTTTGCCAAGGAGTCGACGCCGAGTGTGGTTGCGAGCGACGAGAAGTATTGGGCTAGGATGTTGGATACACAGCTTGGCCCTGCTTAATTTCGACACCTGGGGTGAGAGAGAGAACGAGAAACGAAAGAGAGACTCTGTAACCATATTTGTATATATGATGGATGTGATGAGAGCGTGTGGTCGCGCTCCAGAAAATTCGGGTGTAATCATACGTGGTATGGAGACGCGACTTCAAAGTCACAAGTGTGAATAAACTTGACATCACGTTGTGTGTATCATACAGGAAAAGTGTTCACTAAAGAAGTGCGATGGATAGAGGATAGTCATGTCATTTGAGCTCTAGTTGCTAGTAGCAAAAACGACAACCCAGGTACATGCAATCGTTCGGCGCCCAGCATGCTACTGTCGCGCATATGCTCGATTCGACCTCGAAATCCGTCCTTCTCTTCATACTTGAATCAGGGCGTATGACTCAAGCTTACGAAAAGCTGTGCCGCTCTAGCCGGGCTGCAGACGAAGGAAGCCGGCATATCGAAGAGGCTCAAGGCAGCAGTCATAGAAGACTAGAAACCGTGGACCTGATTTATTGTCAGTTGGTGTTTCGATACGAAACTCATGCTGCTGTGTGACTCACCTTGATCGTCTTAGCATCGAGACCGAGTCCCTCCTTCTTGTCGGTCAAGAAGTCCTGGACGTCTTTGCGCTGATCGCCTTGGAGCTGGACGACTTCGCCCATCTCGGCATCGCTTACGATGGTGCCATTGCAGGCAAACTTCTTTTTGATCACCTTGAGGATCTTCTTCTGGTCAAACTTCTTAGGAAGACCTTGGACGGTCGTCAGGGTCTTGCGGCCATTGCGCTCTGTGTTGTGTTAGCCGGGAGACCTTTAGAAAATGTCACACGACACGCGTGAGCCTTTGGGGACATGTTGGCAAGTGCGCAAGTGGGTTGGGTGCGTGGTGAGGACTTTGCATCAGTGTGCAAGGGCGGTGAGGGACGTACGTTGGATACGAATATGAATGTAGTCCTGCTGAGTCTGCTTGACCTGGCCGGTATCTTCATCCGCTTCCGCGAACGGGTCTGCAAACACCTGGTCAGTAGCTGCCTCGCATGCGCTTCAGGTGTGACGTCTTACCGAAGGTCTTAAGGTTCTCGATGGACATACGACAGTCGGTGAGCGCGCGTGTAGGTGGGGGGTTGTTGGGGTGTGACTGCCGTGGGTAGCGGGCGAGTTACTTGCGTGTGCTGAGATTGGAGTTTGGGTGGTTTGGTCGTGGTGGTGCACAAGTCGGGAGGCTGCAAGTGTGTGTTTGGAGGGTCGAGCAGGCTGAGAGAAAGAGGTGGGGAATGCGGCGGGAGAGGAAGGCGAGCCCCGCCGAGGTCTGTGCATGGCGAAGGGTGCTGGGTGGTGCTCGCCGTTTCAAAGCTGATCGGTATGGCGAGCGTCAGGCGCGAATGAAAAGGGACGAGGATGACATGGTGACACATGGGGCGAGCAAGTGATAGGGGCATTACGAGCTAACCGACAAGTATCGTCGCTTGCTTGGTGAGGATGTCGAATTATACAATTACATGGTACAGTGGCTACCTGACTACCAGCTACACATCATTTTCTCGCACGGCAGCCTACGATGGCGGAGCAGCAGGGAACGCTTCCGTTCCAGATGCTTGCCCAGGCCTGACCGGCGGGGGCGGAAGGAACATGGACGAGTAACTCTGTAGCACAGCATCAATAAGAGGAACCAGTCACAGTCAGAGTCAGGTCCGGGGGCCAAACTTACAACTAGAAGCGACATGACTGTATTCTGGTTAGCTTTGATGATTAAGCGTCAGGTAGTGGTAATACATACTGGACATGCCCACCTGGAAGTAGGCGGGTGTAGACGATGTTCTTTTCTGCTCGGGTGTCTCAGCGAGCCACGACTGGATAGCGAATACTACAGCAACCCTGCATCGAGTCAATAGGGGACGTGGCACAAGATGAGGGAACTTACCAGCCGATCATTCTGTGCAGCACGCGTGATGTCAGTTATTGATATTGGGCACGGCTAGACACGTATCTGGGTAGTGCCTACTTGTTTCGCGTGAAGATCTGGGACACGATATCAGCCGTGTAACGTGGGATGGGGACAGCGGAGGGCACTCACGGCAGCCATGGGCAGTGTGCTCGAGAGCGTGCTTGCCATGTCATTGTCATCCTTGCCCTTCTCTGGCTCGGCATAGGGCACGACTGCAGATGAAAGCGCGTTAGACACGTGACCAAAGGCATTGCAGGTGGAAGGTTAAACCGTTGGAACCCCTATGACGGACGTGTCTTGCGGGAAAGTTCCGCGGCATCACGTACTGAGGTCGGCGCGGCGCATGTCCTTCTTGGAAGCCATCGTGGAGCTGGTGGTCGGGCGGTGTGTCGTCGGTGGCCGAGATATCTACCGTAGGCTGGCGGAGTGGAGATTGATGGAGTGATCTTTGTTGCAGCGTGAGGCGTGAGCGGCGGCTGGCTCTCTATGGTACCGGTCCGGGATGTCGTTGGCCCCGTCTTAGTGTGGAACCCATGTCGCTCTGTCGTATTACCGGGTGATCGTCTCCGCTGTTCGCAATCCAAGATAACCTCAGACCTCACGTCAATCCCTCTGCGTCGGCCCCCATTGCCCTCATCCGAGCAACACATTAGTCCCTCCCTTCCATCCCCGAGTGTGTTGCTCGCACATGCTGCCGCCCCAACATCGGCGCCTCCTGACCTCGCCCAGCCCTCGCTCGCTCCCTTGGCCCAACAACTGCATGCGCCTGATACAACGATGAAGTCGCTGTGTGTGCGATGACTTCTCGACCTGGCCCGGGGATTCACGAATCTCTACAGAATCGTGGCAGCGCCCTGCCTCCTCGGTCCCAGGTGCAGCGCCGGCCCTCGAAGCCTGCCCATGCGCTCCTTCAGCCGGACTGCATCGATCCGGCCCTAGAGGACGAACGCCCCCCCTCTGTACACAGCGCTGCCCACGATGCCGCGAGACCTCCCCCGCGAGGACGCCCGCCGCTCTTCTACACCACCATCCCCCCGATCCACCCCGTCGAGCTGCCCCTACACTCCTTCCCGTATCAGCCGACCGCGAACCTGCCCCAGCCCCCACGCCCGGGCTCCCTGCACCTGAGAGATGCTCCGCACCAGCGTCGCATACTGCCCGGTGGCACGGGAGTCAAAGACGCGCCCAAACCCGGTGGCCCTGAAGCTGTCGTTCCACCCGTCCATTTTCCCGGTGGGAAGGCCGCCGATCTGTTTCCATGGACCGGCAACAATCCCGAGGACAACCTGTCTGAGGCGCTAATCAAGGCAGGCGTCAGTAACAAGCCGCAGATTATGAACGAGTCCAACACCGCCCGCCCCTCGCTCATCAACAACCTCAAGAACAAGTCTGGGCTCAGCACGCTGTCGACCCTGTTCGTCGCCGTACTAGAGAAGAGACAACAGACCGGTCGCCTGCAAACCCCCAATACCTTCAAGCCCCCACCACGATTGACGCTGAGAGACTCGACCCGCGAGCAGTGGCTGCACGACTTGGCAAATCCAACGACAGGCCTCCGCCGACTCAGCCGCACCATCCCCCACGGACTCACAGGCAAAGTGCTGCTGGAACAATGTCTCAACAAGAACATCCCCCTGCCGAGAGCCCTGTGGTTGGCCAAGTGCGTGGGTATCAACGAACTGCGCGCTCACAAGAGAAAGGGCCAGGCCGGCACTGTGACCTGGGGCAGAGGCTGGACCAGTTCGGTCGAGCAGTTTATAGACGGTGTCATTGGCAGTATTGGGCAGGGTGACTGGAAACCTCGAATCACGTATGCCCTCCAGCTTGCGACCCACCTCTACAAAGAGCACCTCCTCGACGATGACCACTTCCTGGATTGGATAGTCAATGGCCTGGACACATGTCCCTCCGAACGCCTGTTTATCTGGCTGCTGGTTGTGTCCATTTCTCACTACTGGACGGCCGTAACCTGCTGTCGCCGCCGCGGCAAATCTCTTGCTGAGTCACTGCTCAATCAGCTTGATAAGATCTATCGACTTGAGGATCTGAGGCCTTACTTGGCCGTCTTACAATATCTAGAGAACACTGTCATTCGACTGCTCGCGACACGACCTGCCTGTCTGCTGCTTCCGACTGCGTGGGCCAGATATGGCCCCCTTCTGCAGAAACTTGCCGATAGGAAGAACCATGCACATGTAACGCAAGCCGTCCGGAGGCTCGAGCTGAGAAATGCTAGGCTTCTACAACCCCCAAAGAAAGCTCCCTCCGCCTCGCAGACACCGGCTGGCCGCGTCTACCGAATACTGGACTCTGTAGACTACAGCAAGCCAGTGCGCATCGAGGACCTGTCGTGTGATTGTATGGAGATCGTCGCCGACGCTCCACGGTTGATCAGCATGCTTCTTCAGTGGGCATGTACGTGCTACCGAGATGGAGCGCACAGGATCTATCTGGCGACCCGGCTACTCCGCAGATGGAACCATCTTGGCGCAGATGTGTACGACGGGATCGTTTCGTATCTTCGTGACATGGCCTGGGTGGCTACCGGCGACCCGAACATTCTCTTTAGAATCGTTGCTGAGTTGGTTCGCTCAAAGACTTTCGCTACTGGACGTTATCTACAATGGCTCATCGCTACAGGGTCTACCGGACACAGCACGGATCTATCTTCACCACATTCCTGGCCGCTGCGCCTGGTCACTGAAATACCCCTCAGTGGACTAACAGACCAAATCCGTACGTTACGAAATACACTCCTACGTGGAACTATGCATTCAGCCGAGCTAGAGCAAAGAGCACTTAGCTACGCCGAGCACATAATATCCCAGACGTTACCTACCTTGTTCGGTATCTACACCGACACAGCTAAGCCGAACGACGTAGAGCTAGACAAGCTTAGTTCGACAGTAAAGCTTGAGCTGGGTATCTGGCTACGTCAACACGTCGCTCAGTATGCTGAGGTCAGCACGCAGTAAGTTTTTTTAGTACACTGGCTGCGGCTCCGCTTACATTGTATAGCATACCTACCAAGGACTCGTCTGTCGAAGAAACCGCTGCGGTATCTTTATTGTCGCCATGGGACTTCCACATTGTAAGATCCTATCTTGAGCGCTTTGGAGACCTTGCTATACTTGCGGACATTGTCGGCGTGGCAACTACATCTTTGGACCCTAGTGTTCTTGCTTCTGCTGCGGATACGATCAATTACCATGCCAAAGCATTTCGTGCTATAGGTGCTTTTGACCCTTTGTTTGGTAGGATCGCAACGAGATATGCTGCCCTGCGAACGGTCCGATTACCCGATCGAGAACTATTGCTCAGTCTTGCCAGCCTAGCTCGTACGGCGCATGCTGATGGCCAACTTCCACAGTTCCTCAACTATGATCTGAGCCAACTGAACCAGCGGAACTCACTTGTGGCCTGTTCGCCAGCCTCTGACAACATGGGTGAGGTCATGCAAACAGGATCATCTTCGGATGACGATATTGAGCGGGTCCTTTCGAGTGGTACCAACATGGATCAGCAAATGATGGGACGAGTACTTCGCAAGATTATTAGTAACCTAGAAGAACATCTAGCCAAGGGCTCGTTCCACTTGAACAGCCATCATGCCTGGTTCCATCGGCTACGCTGCTTCGACGAGCCGACCTTCGACATGGTCGTGAACGAATGGCTGATCTTAAGCCTGATGGCTCAAAGGACCGACACGTTGCGGGTAGCCTTGCCCACTCTTGTTGGTTCCGGCTGTGTTCCTTTGACATCTTTCTTGGATACTCTTCGAGCTTGTATCGCTAAGTTCAAGAATAATCCTTCTGAAGGTGGTTTCCAGAGCGCTCTCAAAGGCATGCTGATTACTTTGCCTTCTGATACACTGGTTCAATCTTGCTCGCCACAAGATGCATATCGATATCGCCTGGAGCAAAGAAAGCTCTGCCTAGAAACTGAAGGTCGCTTTACGCAATGTATTGGTGAGGTGATTGGGCTTGGCTCCATGATTCCATCTCAGAAGGCCCAAGCGCAGCTTTCAGACTTTCTGCGTAGCAAGCCAATGCTGCATGTCCTGAAACATCGCCTCGTTAGCGATCCGGGATGCTTGTCCAAGCTGAACAAGGAGGGTTCAAGTCATTACTTCAAGCCATCACTAGATAACCTCCTGGATCCCAGAGGCCACATGAAACTACCGGAAAAGAGCCCTGGACAGCAAGTCCTCGCAGTTTTTGCACTTGCGAGCGAGTTGTCATTGCCGATCTGCCAAGCGACCATCGAACAGCTGTTCTCGTCAAGCGCAACCTCGTTGGGAGACTCTGGTGAGGCACTCTCTGCGTCTCTCTTGAGCGCTATCAAGACAGCGGTTGAAGAGGATCAACCCTCAGGATTAGAGCTTCTCGCAAGCTTGGATACTGCTCTCACTGACCAGATTCGACAACATGCTGAACGCGAGATCATCAATGCCTCTGCCTTCTTGTGCATGTCACCTGCAATCAAAGCAGAAGAGGCCGAGAGAGTCTCACCAGCAGTAGTTCAAAAATATCTTACGGTTATTGACCTGACTTCAAGTAAGCGCTCGGAGACCACTGAACAGACTGCTCTGCTTCAAGCTTTGATCGAGAGATTCAAAGGCATAAGCCAGACTCTTGAAGACAGCAGACTCTCGGTTCTAGAGATATATTCTTGGTTGAATGCTCTCCTCCGTCTGGTAGTGTCTCATGCATCGGCCATGCTGAGTGACGCGATCCATCCACACCAGACTGCTATGATGAGTGCCATGGCTGCTCTACTCATTCATCCGTCTCTGGAACTATACCCTACAATCACTGAGCATGTCTTCGATGTTACAGTATTCCTCTCGGACTATATCTCGGATGACGTCCGGTTTCACGTTACTCGGCTGGAAGGTGCCAGACTTGCAAGCGATGCACGCTGTGTCTTCATCCTGGGAGTGACAGCGCCAGTCGACGGCTGGCTTGTTCTGGCCAAACCAGTCAACACCCCTCTGAACCAAGCGTCCTCGCAGCCACCAACGCCAACACCCCTTCAAAATCAGCAATCGCCATATCAGAGCCCACAGGTACCCGCCAATAGTTCTGCAACGCCCCAGCAACGCTACCTTCAGCAGCAACAACAGCAAAGACAGCAGCAAATGCAGGCAGCTCAACAAGCGCAGCAAATGCGCGCACAGCAGCAGCAGCAGCAGCAATACCACCAGCATCCGCAGAACAAGATGCTGCCTGCTCAGCTTCAACGAACACCGTCGGGCCAAGCCTCTCCTTCTCCACTCCAACAAATGTCACAAATGCAGCAGATGCAGCAAATGCAACAGCGCGCCATGCAACCCTCGCCTGTCTACTCGCAGCGTTCGACTCCTGCAGCGAGTCAGAGCCAAACCGGTAGCCAAGGCCAGACAGGTACACAGGCGCCAGGCAAGCTGCAAATCAGGCAAGACAGGGAGATTCGGCACTACCCGTTCGTGCAGCCGAGGTGGGAGATTCTAGCTGAGTCTTCTGGAAACCCGAACGGCAATGAGACTGCAATCAACTTGAGTCTCTTTGGTGCGCGGAAGGTATGAGTCTGCATGCGTTGTACTACTTCTATTTCGCATTCACATCCACCAGTTTTGTGAACCACCTTCGTTTCGTTTATGTATTTTCTTCCACTCGTTATCTCATATGTTGTTGGGTCCCACATAAGCTTCTATTCCTATTCTAAAGCATGAAGCGAGGCGTTTTCCCGGGTTACTGCTATGATCTGTTCATGACATTGCATCACACCGGAGTTTCTAATGGGAAGGGTTTATCTGCATATAGCGTTATGGGACTACATAGGGTATTGTTTGGAATTTGCATTGCTGTGAGATATATACAGCATGGCGTTAACAACGGAAACGCGATATGCTGGGATTAGTGCTTAGCCTGATTGTGTCGTTGAGAAGGCTAGAATGAGGTATATAGATTAACTGAATGAAGAAATACTTTGACGATTGGTTTTCATGCAGCATATGTTTGAAGTGACTTCGATGGTACGTGGATATGCCTTATCTTCAAGTCTGGCATTACCAAGGCTTCATCCCAGCTACGCCCTACGCATGGTATTCTTCAACCCTCCCATCCTCAGCACAATCTTACGCACTCTTGCCTGTAAGCTTCTCACAAGCCTCCCTGTACTTCGCGGCTGTCTTCTCCACAATTTCTGCTGGCACTGCCACTCCCTCCTTGCCCTTCAGCCCGTTACTTGTCAGCCAGTCCCTGAGGAACTGCTTATCATAGCTAGGCTGCGCCTTTCCCAAATTCTTCTCCCATGACTCCTTTGGCCAAAACCTTGAGCTATCCGGTGTCAAAACCTCATCAACGAGCACCACTTCACCCTTCTCATCAACTCCAAACTCGAACTTGGTGTCAGCGAGAATAATACCGACCTCCTCTGCGCGGTCCGCAGCAGCACTGTAGATAGCCAGTGAAAGCTCCTCCACGCGCTTCGCAATCTTCTCATCACCAATCAGACGTCTAGCTTCCTCGGGGCTGATATTCTCGTCTTTGCCGCCTACCTCCGCCTTGGTACTCGGTGTCCACAATGGTTGTGGTAGCTTCTGACCTTCAATCAATCCCTTGGGCATACTAATTCCGTTGACGGTTCCGGACTTGGTGTACTCGGACCAGCCTGATCCGGTGATGTAGCCGCGCACTATAGATTCAATGGGCAGGATGCGCAGACGACGAACTTGCATGCTGCGGTCCTTGAGGGAAGTTTGGTCCTGGATGGCGGCTGGGAGGTCTTGGGAAAGGAAATGGGTTTTGAGGCCGGGAACTTTAGTGGGGAGGTAGTGGAACCAGTAGATTGACATGGCAGTTAGAAGAGCGCCTTTTCCTGGGATACCCTGACATTTTTATCAAAGGGAGTTCTTGGGATTCGGTGATTATACTACTTACATTCTCCATGATGACGTCGTATGCTGATATACGGTCGCTGGCGACGAACAACAGTGTGTCATCGTCAATTGCGTACAGGTCGCGCACTTTTCCAGAGGCGACCTTAGGCAACTTGCCTTGAATGTCAATGTTGGTAATTGCTTGAGTCGACATCTTGTTCCAGTGAGTTAGTTTCCTGGAGTTGATGTTGGTGGAATGACTGTGTTTGGTGGAGATTTATGCATCCGCCCATGTCGAGTATTTTATGCCCTGTAGCGGGGCCGCTGTGGCTTCCACGGGGAAAGTGTGGCGGTGCGGAGTTCGCGTCGTCAACGGTGCACGCGACCTTGGCCTACAAGTAGTCCTGAACAACACAATGATGAGCGCGAAGTTACATGGCATGAACACAGGAAAGACCTGAGTCAAGTAAAGTAACCTTCGACTCGCGCTCTACTCAAAGGCTTGCTGCTCCTGCCTGACCAGCCCCATGCGTACATCAGTTCACGCCTTACTTCATTCGACAGCCTAGTCGCAGCACCACACCTCCGTTGACCATCTCTCCATCAAACTACACCTTCGTATCTACGTCAGATCATCTCTAAATGTCTTCAGTCCAGTTCACAGCACTGATACGCCTCCCATTTATCCGCGGTGACTTTGAGGATCCTCCACAGGTAAAGTGACCTATGTCTACGTCTTGGGCGTTCATCTGACCATCGCCCAGGCACAATGGGATGCCGAGAGGGACCGCCAATTGTGGAAGGTCATATCAAAGTCCTCAAAGACTAGTGATTTAGACTGTAAGATTTCTTCCATGTAACGCGATGTCAATGGTACTGACATATTATAGGGGTCGAGCTGTATGTACATGCGATCCAGCCATGTACCAGCCTTGCTGACCATAACAGAGCCGACAAGTTTCAAGTTCCTCCAACCTTTCTTCTTCAGCAAGCAGCATGGTTGTACGAGCGGCATCTCGACCATGTTCGCAATCAGATGAAAAAGGTCAGCATCTCGAACGCTGTTCCATCATCATCGCCGACTGGTGGAAGCACTGTGCCTGGTGTTGGTGGTGTTGCGATGCGGAGGGGTGGCAGTGCCGGATCTGGAGGTAGGAGAAGTGTTCACTATTATTTGGTATTGCTAACAAAGAGTAGCTGGTAGAACCACGTCTGCATTGGCTGGACGATCGAAGGACAGTCCAAGTCTACGTGGTGCAGAGGTAACGACGCCAGGTGAGTACTTCAACGAACATGGTGGATTCTATGGCAAGTACATCTTCTGACATCGTCTAGCGCCTCCCCTCTCCAGGACGCCATCTACGACCACAATAACCCAATCTCGAGCAGATACTCAGGCGCCAGCTCGAACTCTGTCAACACGCTCCACCCGACGCCCCAACTTGACCAGTCGGAAGTCTGATGATCGCGCAAATCCCTCAGCTGCACCACCCAGCTATCGTAATGATGAAGCTGCTTCTCCAGAGATTCCAGATTCCTCGTCTTCGAGCTCATCGTCGCTGTCGGATACTGATCATCCAGCCCATCGAAGCCAGCTGTTTAAGCGTCCTCCACGTTTTCAACAGAAGAAACCTCGAGAACTTTCCACGTTCGAGGAGGGTGATGGAACTCAAGAGACTGACGATTTGGGCTCACATGAGACAAGTCTACCTTTTGCGACGGCAGCTAGACCACGACCCAGCAACAGCAAGTATGCACCAGATGCGCATTTTAGTGCCGATAGTAAGCCCGAGCAAAACGTGTTCCAGGCTGACCGCACGAGAAATGCTCCGCCAACAAGACCAAAGTCCATCGACGTGCAGTCACTTGCGACCACCGAGACTGCGTCGTCAATGACTAGCTCCGGTGGACCTCCATCAGCAGCAAAAAGCCCTATGAGCCCGGCTTCGGATCATCGTGCAGCACTAGGCCGACTCGGCAGTCCACGGCGTGGAGGTCCTCGATCCAGGATCGAAGGCAGCGAAGGCACACCTAGTATGGGCAGCAGCTTCAGCGATATCGATGGTGAGTCAAAGTTTTGCCCTTCTTTGGAATGATACGTGTACTTACATTGGATAGATGCGGGCATCAGTCAATCAGCCCTAGAGGAAGCGCTGTTGAGTAACATGCAACATGGGAGAATGAGCACGCTTAGTCGCATGTCGAAGTGGTAGGAGTATTGAAGAGTACAGAAAGCAGTATCTCGGTGTTTGGGTAGACTCTCGTCTATTACTATCAAGACTCTTATTGTGAGCCACTCTCAAGAAGTGTATTGTGCAAGGCTGCAGCCTTGGCACTAGTCCATTGATCTAGACTACAACTCGAACTCCACGTCAGTACCAATACTCAAACTCCAAACTGAAATTGAATCAAATAGCACCGGTTTTAAATGCTATGCTTTTTCACTCTCAAAAATCTGTCGTAATGGAACCGCCACCCGTCATCTTCATAACAGACTACACCACGCTACCCCCAACAGCCACCCGGTACATTTGCGGCAACAACGACATCGCCTTCCCAACTGCCTACACGCAGATCAAGTCCCTTATTTCCCATCCAGCCTGTCCGCACCGTAACAGGTCGTACAGTTGGTCCTGTCACTCTTGCGAATCCACCTTTACAACCAAGTACTGGTCCTGCGCCGCGATCCTCCTCGACTACTTTGCCGATTTCTACCCCAAAGACACCCCTTTGATGCAGTCAATATGGTTCCAGCTCCTAGATATCTGGCAAGAAAGCGCATCTCGTCTTCCTTACGAAGCGGTGCTGGAAGCATCCGAGGCAGCTGCAGCCATTGGAGCAGAGCTTCTGGGTGCGAACCATGCTAGGACATTTGAGAAGAGTGTTAGAGATACAATTTCTCTATTCGAGGTTACGATCTGGGGACGGAGGGAGTCCACAGGTGATCAGGTCATTTACGACCCCAGGGGTGAGGCGTGGTGTCCTGTGGGCGAGTATGAGACGGGGCCTTGGGTTAGTGGGCTGAAGCCCTGGGCACAGTTCTTAGGAGATGGCGGCGTGGGTGTTGCGCCACCTTTTTGTGGTCGTGTAGGTGTTGCGAATGAGGAAGAGGATGATGGAAATGGCACTAGAGGGGTGTCCAAGCAAAGGACAACAACAAGATACATTCCCCTCCCAGCCCTCGGCGTCATAAATTCTCACACCGAACGCGCCCGCAAACTAGCCGTACAACTCTTCAACAAACAAGATCCTGATCTCCTTACTACTTCTCTCGCGGAGCTCGATGCGCACACTCTACCGATGCCTGCCTCACGCAACAAATCTCACTCGTACATCTCGAAGATCACGGGCCTGGAAACAAGTTATACCTTGTCCAATGGCGCCCCGCCTGTAATAAGATATGAGGGGCTGGGTGATCCACAAATGGAGCTTAAAGGGGTGACGGATTGGAACTTGCTGGATGAGTGTGTGGCAAGTTGTAGAGGAGTGGAGGCCTATGTGCCGGTTAGTGGTGGTAGTGGAAATGACGATATGGAGGATGATGATGGGGAAGACGAAGCGGATGGGTTTGACATGTGGACCTTGATTGAGAGAGGGACATCGGGAGAGGGTGGTAAAGCGTTGGATTTGGGGGACATGTTTGACACATGGTGTGCAGTTGACGAGATCTGATGTGTGTCAGAACCTAGCCCTGCGCCACTACGCTATGCAACCAAAAAGGTACGTATGATCTGCGAAGTATTGATCATGGTGCAGGTTAGTATATATCGCCAGCCAGGTCTGACACTGGACACTGATATGAAGATAGACAAAAAGAAAGTTCTTCGGCGTAGTCTCTTGCAGTACCCAGGCATAACCCCCTACACAACCTTCAAAATCGAAATACTACATCTAAGCAAACAAGTAATCTAAGACAAAGTAATGCATATAGCGTAAACTCGCCAGTAGAACTTTGCTGACTAGCACCGAAAGCTCTTAGCAATCCTATAATCTGTTTGCTCGTTTCCAGAAAGTCCTCTAGTGTTTCCCATGCCGTATGATACGTCATTACAGTTTTCTTTGCTACAAGACTGTCAGATAGTTTCTCGCTAGGCCTCCTCCCATATACTTACAAGTAAAAATCGCAGTGAAGGCAAACGCCATTCATTCTCATAGTGTAGGTTGACTGATCATTTGGACTCTCTCCGGCTTTTCTGAAGTTTTGGCACTGTTTGCCACCACTGATGGCACCTGCAGTGCCAGGTCCGAGATGATTATCATAGAAGTCACCACAATGGCCGCGTGCTTGAAGAGCTGCAGGAACTGCAACAGCAGACATGACGGATGCCAGGACTGCGAAGCCGAAGACAGAAAAGAAGTACATTTTAATGACAGTAAGACTGTAGCTTGTGTGTGGAGGACTGTGTGTAGAACAAGAAGAGAGTGTTGAGTTGATTGTTCTATGTACGAAGGAGAAATCCCTTGTTTATGTAGGGAAGAGAGAGTACGCTAGTGAGTGAATGTGAGTGGATCACGTAAGAGGATGCAAACCAACACTGTGGAGTGTGAAATAGTTGTCAGTATACGAACCAAACAGAGAACTGGGTAAACCTAATACGTGCGACATTGGTATGTTGCACGTATTAGAGCGGACAACACTAAGTCAACAAAGAATCATGTTATTCGTGGTCATTATGCGAGACACGACATTGTGATATAGTGACGCAACTCTCAACACACTCTATTTTGGTGCCTCCTGATTGGGTAGGTACTCAATTAGACCTAAGATGGCGACTTGATCTCGTGCAAGAATCTTTCCCATAATACACATATTGATGCTAAGCTACTCGAAAAGCCACGAGAAGAAGATTGCCTCAAACCAGAAGGATAAGTATGCCGTGAGGCATCTGATCTTAGATTAGTGCTGCGTGACAAGTGGATAGCACAGTAGAAAGGATTGCGGTACAGTAGGAAAATTGCATGTTTAATCATATCTTATCTATAGGCGTTACCATGTCTGTGTATGTGTAGGCGCACGAGATATTTTTCTATGTACCCTTAGCAGTTTAAGAGATAGTCATTGGGATGCTCTTTGTATGTCAAGTTACGTTTGCTGTATTGCATATGTACATTGATAGCATTAACTCGCTTGTGCGCTATAACATGGTATTATGTTCGTGCATTACAAAATCAAATCGTGGATATCGTTGCGTAAAAAATCAATGTTCCTCCACATGGCCAATCTTCAGTCTCATGCTCTTCCTCCATATCGGAGTCCAGTTTATGGAGAGTAATCCCTGGTCTTGCGTTGAGATTCAGTGTCCAAGAAGCTACCTCGGCTGCGGTTTGACTTGGTAGAGCGTGTTCGGCGCATGCTGGAAGAGCGATCACCTCCGAGACGGCCACCAAGGCAGAACATAACGGTAGCTAGGAAGTAACAGGCGACGGCAGCCCAGGTGAAGCCCATGAGATATCTTCCGATGCGTGCTTCGAAACCAGCGGAACGGAAAGCGTCGCGACCCTTGACTACCCATGCGCTGATGAAGTTAGTATAAATGGTAAGAAGTTTCGCAATAGATATGCTTACGTCATGAGAGCTGCAGCGAGCGTCTGGAAGAACAGAGCGACAAATGTCATCAAGGAGGAGAGGTATCCTCCAAGGCGGCTGCAGAGAGCAAGTAGGCCGGAGATGAGAGCGATGGCAGCGAAGAAGAGGGCGATCAAATAGAAAGCGAACATGAACCGAGACAGATAATAGTACTGGTGTGTACCGATGAACTGCTCGGGGATGTTTTGCTGGGTGCCAAAGTTCCTGGGCGGGTCAAATGGCAGCGCTGGAACGGGTGAGCCGCAGTTGGCATTGTTGCCGGATGATGGGTCAGAGCCGCAGATGGCAAAGAAGGTCCATCGCGATGGGTTGCGCGCGTTAGGGATGCCGTCGGTGGAAGCCTCAAGGAAGTAGAATTTGTTAAGAGGACTCTTGTTGACGCCACCAGTGAGGATGGTTAGGAATTGGAAGAGCAGGCCACCAGCGACCAGTATCAGGGAACTGAGGGCGAGGATAGGTCCTGAGTAGCGTGTCAGCAAGCGCGCAGCTAGAACAGCAAGCGACGGACGACGTACTAGCCACTGCCATTGTTGAAAAGTCGCCCAATTGAAAGGTTGTCGCAAGGGTGAGTGTTTATTAAGATTAGGATGCACGATAATGGTGCTATTACAGTGGGATGATTCGACGTAACGAGCTGCGTGTCCAACGCGCGGTGTAAAGAGGCCTGGCGAGCTTGTTTATGAGCGCTGGCCAGCGGTGACGTAGCCCTCGACACAAGTGCATCGGGCTCTTCATTGGCGTCGTCGACTAGCTTCATCATCGCACAGGGTTACGACACTATCGCACGCGCTTTGCATCATCCCGAGGCTCGTCGACACACCAAAGGGTCCGCGGCTTGCCTGGAAGCATGTTGGCGGATGCGACGGATCGTGACGGTGCGAGTTAATGAGTCGGCAAGTGTCTGAGGTGTGCGGCATCACATGGTGAGATGGGGGAGGGATGCAGGGATGGCTTCCTTGCTCGGATAGTAGCGAAGATCTGCTGGGTGAGTTGTGGAGCTTGGCCATGGAGCCCGGGCAGCAGCCAACAACAACCTGCACCGTCGTGCCTTGGAAGCACATCACCATGTCCACCGCTGTATGGCCGCCCATCGATGATGCCCGCCTCGCTGATCAGCAGGCGGCGTCGCAAGCGCGAGAGCTTGAATGGCTGCTTGTGCAGCTCCGTGAGACGCTGCAGTCGCTCAAGGCAGGCCTGGAAGAGTGCGCTGCTCTGCTTGCGCCTTCAGAAAACGGCTCGACACTTGTGCTGACTTCGGTGCGCTCCGAGAGTCTCAAGGGCCTCATTACGCGCATTGGCACGCGCATCACCAAAGGCGTATGTCCTTACTTGTCTGTTCTGATGCATCAACTCACACGGCGCAGAATGTCAAGCTCCGTCTGGCAAGCCTCCCACCACCCAAAGGCTCTCTGACCTACGACCTCGCCATATCCTCTGCACCGCACGCGCCTACACTCGTCGTGCCCCAGCTTACTGCAATCCGAACGTCCATCAACAGCTGCCTCGACGTCATCGACGTGGCTACTTGGGGAGGCGATGCTACCAACGCCAATTTTGTCTCTGGCCAACTGCAGCTGCTACACGACCATATCCTCGAGGCGCAAGCGGCATTAAAAGGCTACTCAGACGTGCAGCCGCCGTGGTGGGAGAATCCTGTAGATGACAAGACCTTCGATCCTCCACTGCCAGCGAACGTGTCTTTCCATCTGTTCGTCTTCGATGCCGCCCTTGTGCTCGAAATCCGCACTCTCGAACCGCATAATGCTGGGGACAGCACATCGCTCACCGGCTTCAGCATTCGCAACACCTTTGCATCCGCGCTCGGCGGTGCAAGAGCACCTGCACACGACGAAGCCGATCGTACATTCAAATACAAGGACCACGACGTTCGCGTCAAAGAGAAGATCCGGGTAGAGAGCCAAGACCCCGCTCTAATCTCCGCCTCAGCAAAACTCAACGCTCTTGGACACAGTGTAATGTTGAGCCGAAAAGCGCTCAATATTGTAATGGGCCGCGACGAGCAAACAGACTAACTCCGCGCAAGTTTGACAGCAGTCAATTGCACCATCGACCATTGGGCGGGACCACCACTCACATGTCGCCTTTTTCCGCGGGGATGCCCTTAGTGCGTATCGCGCCATATCGGCTCGTCGCTATCGGAACAAATAATGTGCACTCGCATTATCAACGCCGCCGAGGAGTTACCGCATCGGCGATTGTTTCTACTCATATTGTTGCCCCTCCTTTCTGGTATTCCAAGTTGTTGCAATTTATTCTACATCACACTTCAACATGGCTCCAGCACTTCTTACCGCGGTTGACGCCACATCCCACATCCACCTTGTAGTAGGGTCCAACCCACTTGCAGGCGCACGATGCGCACGATCAATAGAGGTCGGTGCGAAACCGGTACTGCTTGCGCCCGAGGACTCCACACTTCACTATGGTCTCGTCAAGCGCATTGAAGCGGGCGAGGTAAAATGGCTAAAGCGAAGTTTCGTCGAGGAGGACTTGACCACACTTGGAAGACCAGAGGTAGACGGCGTAGTGGATGCCGTGTTTGTTACCGCCGGCGGTAAGCATACATCAGGTAGGCGACATACCTCTACATTCCAGGCTTCTTTCTAACTCGCCACAGCGACCCACATCTCAAGTCTTTGCCGGAGACTACGCATACCAGTCAATGTCGCCGATGCACCGAATCTCTGCTCCTTCACCCTCCTCTCAACGCATTCGGATGGTCCTCTACAGATTGGTATCACAACATCTGGAAAGGGATGCAAACTTTCTGCAAGAATACGGAGGGAGATTGCGGCGTCGCTCCCACCGCGCCTGGGTGATGCGGTTGAAAGGCTGGGGACACTGCGGAGACGCATATGGGAGGAAGATCATGCAGCGGAACTATCGCAAGACCTAGAAGCAGAGGAAGAGGACAGTGGCCAGCCAGCGACATTCAACAAATTGATCCTGGAAGAAAGCAAAGAAGCAGCACGGGGACGTCGCATGCGCTGGCTATCACAGATATGCGAATACTGGCCTCTACGCCGTCTTGCGGGTATTACGGATGCAGACGTCGATATGTTGTTCCGCGAATTCGCCAGCAGTAGCCCCTCGAAAGTCGGACCCACTGCCACCACTCCTGGAAGACGTGCAGGCCGTATTATCCTCGCAGGCTCTGGTCCTGGCAATCCCGACCTTCTTACCCGCGCAGCCCACAAAGCCATTCTCTCTGCCGATCTGATTCTCGCTGACAAACTCGTCCCCGCACCCATTCTCGACCTCGTTCCCCGCCGCGCAACCGTCCACATCGCACGAAAGTTCCCCGGGAATGCAGATAAAGCCCAGGAAGAGCTCTTGGAGCTAGGTCTGGAAGGACTCAAGGCCGGCAAAGTCGTAGTTCGGATAAAGCAAGGCGACCCATACATCTACGGTCGTGGTGGCGAAGAGTACGATTTCTTCCGCGCGCATGGTTTCATACCCAGTGTCCTACCTGGTATTACAAGTGCCCTAAGCGCACCCCTCTTCGCTGCGATACCTGCCACACACCGTGGCATCGCAGACCAAGTGCTCGTTTGCACTGGCACAGGTAGAAAAGGCGCGCCCCTCGACCCACCAGAATTCGTAGCTTCCCGCACACTCGTCCTTCTCATGTCGCTTCACCGTCTATCCGCACTAGTCGAAAGTCTAGTCGGCAAAGGGTACCCTGCAGAATTGCCCGTCGCGGTACTGGAACGAGCTTCATGTCCGGATCAAAGAGTCATTAGAACGACTCTGGAACATGTTTGCGCTGCTGTAGAAGAGGAGGGCAGCAGACCTCCTGGACTCTTGGTTGTGGGTAACGCGTGTAAAGTGCTTATGAAGTATGAACAAAGATGGGTTGTCGAGGAAGGGTTCCATGGACTGGACAATTTGGGTGGGGATGGCGAATTGGAGATCAGTAGACTTACTGAGGCGGCTATTGCCGCGTAGTCGTTCGAGATACAGATACCAAAAACTTCACATTTCAGATGCATCGAATGTACAAGCGAGGCAAAAAAAAAAGCTAACTTCCAATCGCATCATGATGTGTGCATTGGTGTTGTCATTCTCCATATTCATGATCGTCCATATCGCTGCTATTCAGCTCTCATAATTACTAGGCCTAGTTGCTTGCCTTTCCGTTTACACGTCATTATCACATGGGAAGCGTAGTCTGTCTACGACTCCCACTCTATATCCAAGATTTCCCCCCACCATTACCATGTCGTACTATACAATTCCTTTTACGTTGCGTAAAATTCGTTCTATTCCAAGATCATTGCGCCAGTCGTCCCAAAATGCCGTGAGTCCCGTTAGTTCCATAATATTCCCCAGAAAACGCCGATGCTAAAAGTGTGATAGTGCTGTGGAAAACTCGATATTGCATATGCGAGTGTGTTTGTAGTCGTAAAGGTACGTAGCGTTACGTTCGTGTGAGAAGCCTAAGCCTGGCTTGTCCAGCTCTTCCTCTTGCTCTGTTGCTGCTCCTCCCAGATGACGAGCTCGCGACCACTCCTTTCTCCACCACGGTGGACGCGATCGATACCGAGGTGCTCGAGGCCGTCGCGACCTACGTGGATGCCGAAGCCATAGCGAATCTTATGGGGATCGGTGTAAGAGTTGTGTTTCTCACTTTTGCGTCCTTTTCCCTTGTCGCCTAGGGCAGGTTCTGCAGCCTCGTCATTACGCAGATTGTTGCGCGACGGGCGGACCAGGGAGAGGGCCGATTGCGCCCATGTGCGCTCGGCGTAGGTGGTTCCCATTAGCTTTGCTACAAGCTCGGGCTTTGTCTGTGGACGAGAGAAGGCGCGGTCGACGAGGATGGGAGATTGGTATACCCAGCTGATTATCTCAGAGAGTGTGTTGCTGCGGTGAGGAAGGGCGGCTCGGCGGCGACCTGGCAAGAGAGCGAGGAGGCTGATACCGTACAAGGCGAGGAAAAAGCAGAGGGCGTAGTATCCTGCAAGCTCTGCTGCAACACGAACGACATCTTCGCTGCCGTAGTATTGCGTCCAGAAGCAGCCTCCAGCAAGAACAGGAAGGGTGGCTGATGTCAACGAGACAAAAGAAAGAACTGCTGTTTGCCAGTGTCTGTTCTCGAGCGCTGCTAGAGTAACCGAGAGAGGTAAACGGCAGGCATAGTCGACTAGCAGGGAAGCTTCGGCGGTGGCTCCGCCCTTCGCGGACAGCGCAATATAGGGCTGGAGTACACGGAGGGAGTAGTCCAAGGACAAGAAAGCCAGGAAGAGGAAGTTGGCAATCAGTGCTGGGATGAAGGAGTAGAGGAAGTTTGAAGCCGAGAAGCCACCTGAGTCTGTACGGGCGAAGACTTGGGGCAGGAATCCAAGTCGAACAGCGTCATTGACAAAACTAACGACCAGGAAAGCGACCAGCAATACGCCAGCGATGACGATCCATGCAATAACTGAAGTGTCCTTCAGATACCATGGAAGGTATCGCAATCGCACGCTCGGGTTGCGGATGTCGGTGCGGATAGTGAAATCGTTGCCCTGGGCTAGCTCAGAACTGGTGCGCTCTGCTCCCTTCTCCATGATACGCCCTCGCTCGACTGAGAACCTCCGAATTCCAGCACCCTCTTCGCCGATGCCATAGAAGACGTCGCTAGGCCTTTTGGTGGTCGTCCAGTATCCAAGGCGATCTGCGCGGTTGCTGACAAGATGCCAATCACCTTTCTCAAATGTCTCGGAACCATTGTAGTCGGTGAGGTTGTTTGAGCGCTCGAGAAGCGAGATGATATCGGCAAGCGATCGAGGGTCCCACTTCAGGCCAGTCGGGTTGCGGATAAGGAAAACCAGCAGATAGACCAGGACAATGACAAGAAGAATGTAAAGAACAACGATGGTCCAGACGATGCCTTGGACAGCTACCCATCGCCAAACACTACGTTCTAGGTCATAACGTACGTTGAAAGCAGAAGCAAGAAGGGGTATCGTCCAAGTAAACAACCATGATACGAGAAAGAAAACTCCGACGCCGGAGTGTCCAGAGTGGAAATGCTCAAAGTTGGGCAACAAGAACTGCATAGGGTACAGTCGGAGGAAGACAGCTTCAGATCGCTTGTGGAAGGAATCAGAAGCCATTGAGATGAAGGGTATGAGGCGTTGGAGAGCCGTCTGAACCTGGATGAGCCAAAGCAGCAATAGCATTCCCAATAGGGTTGGGAGGTATTCGAACACGAAATAGCGGTTGTCGCCAAAAGCGTTGTAGTTCCATAGCCCGCCAACGTCGTTGCGGTTGGAGTAAACCGCGGAGAAGATCAGTGCGGCAATCATAAGGATGCACAGGAAGATGAAGATACCAAGCCAAAATGGGCGAAGAATGGCTGGGAGGAAGTGGAGTGGCGCATGTTGAGTATGAGCTACGAAAACGTCATCTTGTGACCGAGGAGGCGAGGGCGACTGCTGTTGCCTGTACTGCTGGGATTGGTAGTGCGGGTTGTAAGGTTGCGTGGTAGCCATAGGTGCTGGGGCTTCCGCAAGCGGTGTTGATGAATTCCTCAAAGGTTTCCGTGGTATCTTTTGCGACATTCTTTGCTGTGTCCTCTGTTCCTGGGCCATGTATCCCAAGCCATTGTCGTGAACGATCCTATCGACGGGATAATCATCTTCGTCGTCCTCTGGTCGAACCTCTGGGTATATTCTCGATCCTCTGACCTCCTCGTCTCGAGTAAGCTGGTCGATAGCAAAGCGGATGTATGGCGTGGTGTCCTGGCCTGGTGTGGTTACCTGCGATTCGGCGTCCATGTTGGGCAGTAACTGGGAGCGTCTCGCGTCTCGGGTGTCTGGTCTCGATTCCTCGGCAATGGTAGAGACGGCGGGTGACTGAGGGCGCTGAGGCTGCTGCCTGGGGATACCGATGCCTCGTAGGGACGTTATTGGGACGTCAGTGTGTGGCACCAACTGCTCATGACTTTGCGCTGGTGTTCGGTGGGCAGAGGGCGGCGTCCGGTAGGAAGGCTGTCTTTCTTCGCTCGAACTAGACGCCTGTTCTGACGCGCTGTAGTAGCCTTCGGAAGCAGCTAATGAAGCAGCAACGCTCTGCTGCGAGGTTTGGTGGGATAGTTGAGGTTGAGAGACTGGGGCCTCGGTCAGCCTGATGCGCGTCTTGAATAGCCGGTGCAGCTTACCTACCGTTGGTTTGCTTGAGTTGGAATTCAGGCTCCACACTCATATCTTCTTCGGTACACTAATCAAGTGGAGTCGTTCAAGAATGATAGCATTGTGAGGATTCTCTGTAGCTGGGCGTGGAGAAGTTTTCTACTCGAGATGGCGGGCGCTTGAAACTGTCTGCCAGCCACCCAATTACGCTGGGGAGGCTGGTCCCAATACCGCTGGGATCACATTGGCGCGACGCATGTATCAACTCATCAATGGAACCGGGAATGAACAAGTTTCTCGCGTCCACCGCTTGCCATTCGCTGGATATTGTTGCGGTATGCCTGCTGTGCTGTTACTGGAGATAGCTACGATAGCTTCCCCGCGATGATGATGTACTAGCCCCAGCCTGAGAGGCTCGTGCACACCACACGTCCATCTCCCAACGCCCTATCCTCACGGAGAGGGCGGCCCATAAGTATTAAAGTCACCATGCCTGCTCTTTCCAACCATGTTTCCCATCGTCTACCGTGGTTCTACGTGATGTTGGACGCTCTTGTATCCATCCCCGCCCTTATCGCTGCATCCTGGTTACGTGAACTCCTTGGCTTATGGACCCACGAACGCGTTTCTTGCGACGCGCATGGTAGTTTTGCAGAACGTGTAGCTCTCTCAGTTCAGACGTCCATGCCGAGGCGACAGCGTTGGTTTAACATCGGTCACCGCATCCGCCTCAGCAGCGTATTTCGAACCGTTAGTATATAGCCACAACAACACGCCCCACTTTTCCCAACGAAGGCTGTACCATTTAAGCACCGCCGCCTCGCCCTCAGGCGCTGCAATAAGGCAACCAGGCTGTACTCATGAATTTGAGCTCCAGAGCTTGGCTTTCTAAGCCTGTTCCAGTCAAGTACGGTGCGCTGTTCGTCTGTTCGTCTGTTCACATATCGGTCTGAGCTCTGAACAATCCAGCCGCGTGATAGTGGCTAAACATCTGGTGGCATCTATAGCACAAATACAACCTCTTCTTGGCTTCAGCCGCGCAACAAGCGTAGTCGAGAGCGGAACACAGACGCCAAGCCAACTGCTTATGGCTGACACACCCGTACAGCCGTATCTCTTCCTCAGGTTGGCGAACACGGATTTTGTCGCACAATGTGGCGACCGGGTGTTTATAAGCACGATTTCTTAGACATGCAGCCTGAGTTTACAATCCTCTCGGTGTCGGAGTAATGTTGGCTCATGCTGACCTCTTGTGGGGCCGCGCGTGCTGTTGAGAAATGGCCCCATCCCTAAGCGCATCTTGGATGTCATTTCGATTAACGACGCCACCAAAGGAACATAGTTGTGATTGACACTGCTCCACACCGCCCTATGGAGGCCTGAGGTCTGTTGTGGGTCGTTGAAAAAGTGCCGTCAAGAGAGGGAGCACAATGGGCTTGTGTTTCGTGATGTGTTGGAAGTATGCCTGACAAGACCATCGTGGCATCGCGTCGACTTTCCGCTGTACACGCCGTTGCTACCGCGATGGAAGAGGGCTGTGCTGAGACTTTCACGCTCAGATCAAATCCCGCCACGGGGTACGGGTCGGGCTCTAGGCTCGTCAATCCTTCGCTTACTTCCTCTCAGCTACTAAGGCGAATTGTACGGATAAGCTTCTGACAGTACACCAAAATACATCACACAAGGCCAGCCACCACACGGCGGAGTGGCGACTATACCACATTGGACCACGCGTGGTACTCTATTGGCGGGTGCTATGCACAATGTCTTCCTGCAGTGCTACCGTTCAGGCAACGCCCCATTAGGCGTTCATCGCGCGTGCTTGGACACATGGAGATACATGTTTGTCCGTGTGCTGTTCATCTCTGATCTAGCTGACATATGCCCCGTTCTTTATCATATCTACCGTCTTTCTACTAGGATTTGCTGTACTTACTCTCGCTTTGGTCCTATCTTTGTTTTTGCGCCGTTTGGTTTGCAACATTATACTTCACTGTAAACATTACACACCTAAGGGGTTTTCCTTGAAACTGGAAGTATCAACATCATGTCTAATTCATCATTCTACGACTTTCATTGTCCGAAGGGAGGCAAGTGGTAAGGCAAATCCTAGAACTCAAGAGCAACGCGGATACTAAACCAACTCCAGGTATGCCTGTGATGCTAAAGGTGGAAGTAATTTTGTTGGCTGTTGCTTGAACGATCCGTGTTCCACTGGATGCAAACTAGGAGACGTCCAACCTGGTGCATACAACGCTTCACATCACGGAGAATTTGCAGACGCCAGTTGCCCAACAAGCAGTACCTTTTATACATGCGGCTTTGGGGACACTTTCTGGGGATGCTGCAAACACAATGCATGCAACGCAACACCGGCGCCTTCATGCGAGGGTGGAAACCTGACTTCTGCCTTAATGGACCTACCAGAGCAGTTCAGGGATTACGCCCCTGATGGCGCGAGCGCAACCTCAAGCGCAAGCTCCTCATCAGGTGGCGGAAAGAGCAACACTGGTGCTATCGTTGGTGGAGTAGTCGGAGGTGTCGTCGGTCTTGCTATCATTGGACTGATTATCTTCTTCGTCCTTCGCAAGAGACGCAACCAGAAGCCTGCCGAAGGTGATATGGGGGCAGCGGCCATGGTTCCAATGATGAACAACGAGAAGCACGACCACAACAGGCACTCGTCACAGTTCAACGGCCAATCACGTACGTTATCTTGTCAACTTATCCAACAGTAAGCTAACAATCATGATAGCACCTCCTACGTACTCTGCGCCTATTGGGGGCTCCTACCACGACAATACCCCCACCAAGGGCCATCAATCATACCACCAATACGCCAGCCATGCAAGCGAACCCCAAGAGCTGCCAGCAGAGTTCCCTTCATCTAGCACACAACGGTACTCCGAACTTCCTGCTGGTGCAGATAATCGACGATTTTCTGAACTTCCTGCCGAGGCTACAGGACCTGCTCCTCCCTCTGAGTTGGAGTCACCGCAAGTGTCCCCTCGACCTGTACAAGCAGAATTCCAGAATGATATGGCTAAGCGAGCGAGTCAAGGACGAGGGTTGGGAGTGATGACTGAGTAGGGACCGTCACAAAGGAATTAATTGTGCAAAGATCATGCCTTTTCACGGAAAACCCTTCTTCCTTTCTTCCGCTTGGGTTCTTGTATTTGGGTTGTTTCATTGGACCTCATTCTGTACTTGCATATCATACCCAGTCTATCAGCGAGCGCAAAAATGTATAATATAACAGATGAATATCGGATGTTCGCATAGAATCGGGACCCTATCAGAAGATCCGGCCAGGCTGCTTCTTTTCCTCCTTCTGATCACCCTCCGTTTTTCTGATGTATTGACAGTAGTTCACGACATTATTCAAACCTAACAGACTAAATCATATACTATTGGGCCATATTGTTCCGTTAGCGTCACAGATCAGAAAACACGAACTTATCCGTAATCCTGCGGGCAGTGCCACCAAAAATCGCCACCATCGAGTCAAGGCCCGCCCAAACGTCAGCCTTTCCACGATGCATCTTACTGTACCGCCACGCGGCAGCCATTGGCTTATTCTTGGCAATCCCTCACACCACCTCACACCCTTTGTGACAATTATTACTCCCGGGATCTGCATGTTTCCGGTCTTCTAGATGTTTTCTCTTACAGCTCCTATCGGTCAGCTTTACGCCGTGGCGCAGTGGTTAGCGGTATGGTACGAACATGTTCGTCTTTCCATGTTAGAACACAGCAAGCACATTGGGGATATTCATTGCATCTCAGTCGATACGCTCGAACACCATAACATATACGCCTTCTAGATGATACTACGATATAAGAAAAAAAAAGAGCACCGGCGTCTTCGTGGTGTCAAGAGGCTATGCAAAACATACGTCAGATTTCTTACTTGCAGGTAACACCCGACAAGGCTGGCCCCATCATGTGGCCATATACGCAGGCGTTCTTGGAATTCCTCAGCCCGAAGACTAGAGAGAAGATGCGTCGTAAATTCGGTAGTCGTGATGCACGCACATAGGGAAGGTTAAGCCGCAGGGTTGCCCTTTGTTCGCAGGTATATGCGCTCATCGCCCACTAGATATGCTGACCCAGGGCTGAGTTCGAGTTTCAGTTCCACTTCCCTTCGGATTTCATTGTCTGTTGAGAGTCACGTAATTTGAAGCGTTCTTCTTCGATTCCAGTCGCTGCTGCTGTTCCGCGTTGGCCGCACTTGCTCCATCTGCCCTCCACGGGCGCACCGCAGCCTCGTCACCTCGAATGATGTCGACCAACCTCACTAGCAGACAGGCGTTCTCTCCTTCTTGTCCAGCTGGAGGTACGTGGTGGTCGTGCGGCTATGGAACGTGAGGATCCGTCTTCATTAGTATTTCCAATCGCTAACACAGCTCCAGATTCTTTGTAGGTTGCTGCGCGAGAGATCCATGTGAGATCACTTGTGCACAAGGTAACCTTTATCCGGGCGCTTTTGATCCAGCCGCATATGGGACATTTCCTGACGCTACGTGCGGAACTGGGAGCAAGTTCTACACGTGCACTGCTGGTGGTAAGTCACCAACCAACACTGTTCACCCTCAGACGTGTACCGAAGGCCCTCCATTCAACTTACACCTAAATTGGAACTCTTATAGAACTGGCTAATCAAGTGCAGAAACTTTCTGGGGATGTTGTAAAACGAACGCATGCGCCCAGTCTGGCTGTCCGGACGGCGATCTTGAGCCCGCCATCCTCAATCGCCAGGACCAGCTCAGCGCCTATCATGCCACTGGCGGATCCACCACGATATCCAGCGCTACGGCTACATCATCGCCATCTTCATCTACCAGCGATGCATCTGTCAATGTGGCAAATGCATCCTCATCTACTACTACACCTGGAACAACCGCGACATCCACATCGGCCACTGCCTCCGCTCAAGCCGGAGAGAAAACACCGGTCGCTGCTATTGCAGGTGGCGCAGCGGGTGGCGCTTTTGCACTCGCAGTGGTCGTCGGATTCGTGGTATGGTGTCTTTGTTTCAGAAGGAAGAAAGGAAAGAACGATGGGAGCGGAGAGGGAATGAAGCAGAGACAAGACACCCTACCTATCGGTGGGATGACGGAAGACCAACGATCGCAACGACATCATATACACATACGAACGAAACCAACTGACCGTAAGTCAAATTGATATTTTTCACTGACGGCTTGGAATGTTACACTAACATAACAGATACAGCCCCACCAACCTACACATCTCCCAACCCAGGCTTCGACAACACCTTCTACGGCCATCCATCCCCTCTCAATCAGCACTCGCAGTCCCCCTACGATCCCCAAGATCCGCGTTACATAGCCTACGCCCATCACGACCCAAATTACGCCTCCGATAACCACGCATACCATAGTCACGCACACGAATGGCACACTCCACCCCAAGAACTCCCCAACTCCACCCCTTCAAATCCTACGCCAGCACAATTTCGTGCTCACAAATCCATGTACGGACATTCGAGGGGCCCGTCTGAACTTTCAGGCGACGGATTAAGGAGCGAATTGGATAGTGGAGGAGAAGTAGAGCCGGAATCGCCTATATTGGGTGGTATGTGGAAGGGTGACCAGGGCTCTAGAGATAGACATGTCGCAGGCTCAGATACTACACCGCAAGTGTGGATGGCGCCTCAGGATTGGGCGTCTCGGGGTACCAAACCTACGGCCCCTAATCAGCAAGGACCTGAAGAACGGAGAGGAGAACGCGAGCCAGGGGGTAAAATGAGACCGTATGGTTTGGGTGTATTGGATGATGCGCCGCAAGAGAGATATAGAAAGGACGGAAAAGGGACGGGGAGAAGTGATGTAGGAAGGGGGATGAGGGAGTGAACGTAAAATGTTGTGAAGAATATAGGGTTTTTTTGCTAGTCGGCCGTGTTCCTTGATGAACCAACCTTCAATCCTACAAATTCCTCAGAAAACTGTCCCATCACTCAAGATAACAATAGGACTGCTCTTCGTCTGAGGCCTCTTCTCTTTTGCGACCTCTCTTCCTGCTTTCCACGTCCCTGCCTCAAGCAACTGCGCCATGCTCAAATCCACCCCTTCCATTCTCTGCAAGACCAGCTTGTACAATTTGTCTACCAGCACCAGGGTCATTGCTCGCCACTCGACAATAGCATCATCTCCCGCGGTGAAAGAAGGAAGACCACTTCCGTCAGAAGTAGCCTTTAGACCACGATCTAAAGACTCAGGCTTCAAAGTCAGAACACCGAGATCGACGAATAGACCGCCGTTGCGGTATTCAGGGAGTGCGGTCATGGAGGACATGTTCTTCCATGTTAGGGAGAGGATGCGGGTGAAGGGGACGGTGAGGGAGTAGGCAAGCCACTGGGTTAGCTTGTGGAAAGGTTGGATGAAGGTGCTTTCATCAGAGTTTCCTTCTTTGGATTGCGTTTTGAGCGTAGATAAAGGCCAGGCGTCACCCAGAGCTTGGCCGTTTACCACGGTACGGTCTTGGGGCCAAATGGGGATGAGTAGGTTTTGGAGGACGTCCCAGAACGTTAGAATATCTAGAGTTGAGGGATCGGAAGCAGTGGTTTTCATGTAGTCTGTATTATGTGGTAAGTACCTGATATAGTGATTGTGTAAATGATAAACATACCAACGACGTTCCCTGGACGGCCTTCTTCACCGAAGATGGTAGGGTGGGAAAGCAATGATTTTCCCAGACTGCGTAGCAAGTTCGCTCGAGAATCAACACCTAGCATGGGGTTGCTTTCGGAGATTTGGAAGCCTTCGGCCAATGTTTCCGTCTTCAAATCTTGTAGTCCCTTTCCTACACGCAGCACAGTTAGCACAGTTCCACTTCAACCGCAAAGCGTATACTCACCATCAACAATCGGTCCCCCATCCTTCTTCGCAGCGAATCCCCAACTCTTAAACATGTATAAACTCGCTACCGCAATACCCTCACTCCTCTCGTACTCCGTCTTCGTTCCTGGCTCCACATACCGCCAGTGATCTCCCGCACCAGCATCCAACAGCACAGAAACGAAGAAGAGATCGATCAAACGACGAGTAATTTCCAAATCGTCGCATCCAGATTTCTTCCACTCATCAAGCAAGTTAGCGATGCGGGGAACGCCGCCAACTTCAAAGTGTTGCCAGCGACCGTGAGGTGGGATGGTGTGGAATTTGTCTGGACCAAAGTCACGCTAGTGGATTCAAAATCAGTGTCTTCATTCTTCAAACAGCTCGAGAAGCTTCATAACGAACCTTGATGACAGAAGTCACATAATCCGCAGCCTCGCCCAGACGCTCCTCGTGCACATCAAAGTGACTCAGTTTGCCTGCTTCAGCGGCCTCTCCCACAATCTTAGCACGCTCTCGCACCGCGCTGAGTGAGAGAAGGTATTTGACTTTGTCGTCCATCTTTGTGTTGCTGTGTGTTTGAGAAGGGTGTATAGAGATCACAAAGCTGTACGTCGAAGAGTAGGTGTTGTCAGGTAAGCAAGTGGGGTTTAGCGCCGCACTACAACGACTGCACTGGCCCAAATTAGGTAGTTATGTGCTACAGAAACCCACTTTGCGGAGGCCGCTCGTGACCTTGATAAGGGCATCGGCGTTTGCCGACGGTCATGTTTGTAAACGAGGTTTGTATGACTGATGCTGCATTTGAAAAGTCGCTTGCTGCGAGTAAGCAGAGATTGAGAATATACATTTCATTACGGGGTTTATCATCAGTTCGCTGAGCGGCAAATGCCAAGCTTGGAGTAGTAGCCGCTGCATCCACATCTAAAAAGGTCGGACAAGAGCCAGCTATACACACTCTTCTCATGCCAGCTCTTCAGCCAATGTCCTCCTTGTGCGACAGCGTCATGCTTGCACCAGTCCATGCCCGACCCAGTGTCTGAATGTCCTCTTGTCGTAACAACTGCAAAGTCGCGTAAACAAATACGTCCTCTTGGTCGCGCAAGAAACAGTAGAACTAAGCCTCCCTAACTATAGAGGCCAAATGCATGACAAACAGCAGTTGCCCTCGGTATACATGAAGCACGCTGGATGCGCGCAACCAAGCGCCCCGCCGAGATGAAGATAACCGACAAAGGAAGAGTGAAGATGCAGAGACAAGCCTGATATTTCAGGAATGCTAGCGCGCTGAAGTAGAACACAGATCAAGGCTTGCCTAAAGATACCCGAAGGTAGAACAAGTGAACCTCAGTGTGAGTGTTATACCCTTGCTTTCCGCTGGCATACCATGCATAAGAGGTATCAATCCTAGAAGTGCCAGAGATGAAGGAGACCCAAAAGCAAGTGTCGCAGAGACCAAGGACTGCTTTTGAAGTGGTATGTTGAGACTAAAGGAAATACCGTGGTATCGGATGCGGCGTTGGTCATTAATGTAAGGTCAATAGAGGCGTAGAAAGGTATTAGTGAAATCAATCGTCGCTGTAGAGTGATCGCCCGGGATCGCTCGTCTGTGGTGTTCGCAACTGAGAGGAGCTACCGAAGCTGGAAAGTTGCTTATCCGGCTCCTTGTGGCTGGGCTTTCGCTTGAAAAAGCTCATGATCTTGCCCGTTGTCGTCTTCCTGCCGGGACTAGAGCAAGTGGGTGATGTGGTAGTCGAATCAGGGTTCGGAGGCGCCAGAGAATCGGGTGTTACTTCCTTCAGCGGAGCTCGTCCATCTGCATCGCCGTTCCTAACATCGCGAGTGCGTCGCTTTGTGCTCACATGTCGCCACCAGCTCGAGTCACGCGACACATCGGAGCGTGTTGCGTTACTGTCAGCGCTCAACTTGTTGTGTGAGTCCCATTGTTGCAACTTTGAGCCATCGTAGTTCCCATTGGCAGTTTGCGACAGATCGACCTGGGAGTGACTTTGCGACGTCGGTTGTTGCGCAGGGTAAGGATCAAGAACTTTTCCACAGTTAGCTCAAATGCCATGGCGGGTCTAAAGTGACGTTTACTCACCTTGACTGCGTCTGGCCTGGGAAGGAGCTGTGACCGGTCTAACACCGTCCTTCTTTGGTGATGACGACCGTGTCAAAGTATCCTTACGATCAGTCTTTGACCGATCTTCGGAACCCGGAGATTGTCCTTTCGGGTCCGATGCGTTTGGTGTTTGTGTTACCAGAATTGCAGTGAGACTGGGGTCCCTGCTACCTCGTCTTGACGATGTGGCATTTTCAGCAGAGCTCATAGCTCTTTGGCCAGGGACAGCGGTCGTCGAAGATCGGCGTGAGCTCTTGTCGATAATTGAAGAGGATCTTCGTGAGTCAGACGCGGCTGGAATGGAGCGTATAGAGCCGGTCGACCCTCGGCGGGCGGCTTCTTCTGGAGAGATGGTCTTGATCGCACTCAGCGGTATCTTCACAGTGTGTCCGCTACCCCCACCAGACAGTGGACTCGGAGTTGGATCGATGGCAAAGCCAGGTGTGAGAAGTCCAAGATTCATACTCTTGTTTTTCCTCTTCTTCTGACGTTCTTCATCAATCTTTTTCTCCCAAACAGCCTTGTTGGTCAGGATCTCGTCGACAGCGAAGCGCATCGCAGGTAGGATGTCTGTGACAGCCTCGAACAGCGGCCTAGCGAAGATATTCATGAAGCCGATCTGGGATTCACCAAGCTTGATAGTGTCCTCTCGTACGGGTGGGCCGCCGAACAAACAAGACGGCATGTCTAGCTCCTCTTCCATAAGTCCTTGGTTGCTGAATTCGTCCGTAAGAATATTGGCCCATCTGGCTGCGGTCTCAAACTTCCGCGCCTAAGTTAGGAAAGTTAGATTACGTGCACCAATAGAGTGTTGGCACAAAACTTACCACATTACAGATATCTGCGCACTTGATCAGAAGCCCACAAGTCAAATCTTTCTGTTCTTCCTGTACTTTAGCGCTCCATCCGTCAACTACTCCTTTGTCATGCGCAACCTTCTGCTGTAGATTACCCAAGTCGCTCATGTATTTGAAATGGAGACCCATGTCGGTCGCAAGTATGTTGTTGATCATGAGTTTGCGCATCGCAGCATCAGCAAACGCTCTTGGCCAGTAGCGGCGTAATATCTGAGAATAGGCAGCGCAGTGGAAGGATTCTAGGACGGAGCGGTCGTTGTAGAGTTGAGCGAGTGGAGCGTTCAATGCGACGAGGAAAGCATTGTTGACTCCTGGATGACCGACATCATGTCCGATGGCTGATATCAATAGCGTAAGCGCATCAAAAGGCTTAAGAAGCTCAGCGATTGGTGATTTCGGAGCGGAAATGCTGGAGGCAGCCGATGGGTAAGGAGGTAGAGTGCCGATTCGGACGAGGAAGTGGAAAAGAGCTTGGAGGACGTCGACAACGTGACGGAAGTTGTGGTACTTGACGAATTCGTTGTAGGCGGTACGACTAGCCAAGAGAAAGACGATCATCTCATCTAGTGATCTGTTAGCGGAAAAGAGGGTACTAGCACGTGCTTCACTTACCTTCAGTTATCGCCCACTTCTCCAATTCAGGCATTTGAAGTGCATGCTTCAGCATGACAAAGGCACCATAAAGAAGCTCATCGTCGGTGAAGTCGTGCGCTGAGAAGGCCCAAGTGCCTACCGCAGCTTCAACGATCATTTGGCGATCTTCATCAAGATGGAAGTCCCTGCTGCCGTTAGTCGCGAATCTTCGTTTCATCGTGTGCACTTACGTAGATTCGAGTGAATCACCTACTGTTTCGGGATTACAGATACCAGTCATCAGATTAGACACCATGGCCTCCCGAAGATAGGCGTATGGCTTGGTATCATCGACACCGACCCAAGACAGCTTCCGGTTTCTCTTAGTAGTCAGGAAGCTTGCTTCTTCTCTTGAGAACTCCTTCTGCAACCGATAGGCGTGAACGGCCAAGCCAAGCATGCGATCTCTTGACATGGGACTTGTCAGAACGTCGACGGCACCGGCATCCAGGTATCGAGTCAATCGAACAGTATCGCCGAGCGAAAACGACATCTGCAGACCGGGCGACGGGAGCGGGCCAGCTGAAGAAGGCTCTTCGGTACCTAAACCCGAGAGCATAACGACAGGTACGACAAGTTTAGAGAAGTTTCGCGACGAGATTTCGGAGGATATGTGGGTGAGTAGGTGCATGGCGTAGATGTCGTCGGGTTCGCTGGTGTCTATCCGTGTGAGACGCGATGAGGTAGGCGATGGCGTGCGCGGTTCACGAGACAGGCGCTTCATTCGCTGCTCTTCATCGTACGGTATGTCTATTATGACAAAGGTGGGAATGCTGGATTTGGTGGAGTCGATGAGCTGGTGGATCTTCTGTAGGCAGGCGCGGCCGGTGCTGCAGATGTGTACTGTTGGGCGCGTCAGTAAGGATATTAGTGCAGATGGCGGACAGACTACCTTCTGAGGAGATGGATAATATTGCTTCAACATTGTCGTGTACCTCACGCGGCGATGTTTTGCCGAACGCAAAGTAGCTCTGTCCTACATTCCCTGTGGTGGTGGTCCTCGCAACAAGCGACTTGGACAGCGTCTCTTTGCGCACATGCTCATCGTTGGCCCGCCGGTCAATGTAGACAACATTGCACGCGCCATGTTCCATTGTCTCCACCTATGTGCGGCGACCAGACAGCACTGGTCTCCAGCGCAGAGGGGAGGATGTTGCAGAGGAGTCGCAAAATGGGGAGAGTGGTGGATGGCGATGATGCGGCTGAAGGGGGTCGAGTAGAGTCACGGGTGAATGTGAGGCGGAAGCGTGGTGGATGCGATGGCCAATTGCAGGTGTCAAGCGCGGTGGGAATGAAGACAGGAGAGCTTCAGACGGTGCGGTGCGTCTAGAAGCGTGGGGGAGCGCAGAGATGGGATCGCGGGAGTGCGCCGGTTGGTCTGAGATGCAGTCTGAAACGACGACGTCTGTATGAGCTCCAGGGAACCTAGCGATGCGGAGAGAGGCAGCCAGTGCACACAAGACTAACGTGCTGTGTTTATTGTATACGAGGTAGGCGCAACGGGCGGATGCGACGAGGAAGGCGGGTAGCGACGTGGGATGGGAGGTGCGATGGCGGGAGGGCACAGGACGCAGCTGCCTCGCGCGCTCTCTTTCTCTCTCTCACTCTCACACTCAGATGCAGGCGGGACGAGGCAGCGGGCGAGACTCGAGATGCACAGCGCACTACGGGCGTCTCTTGCGGATTCGACTGCAGCGTGTTTGAGGAGCGTCCTCGACACGAAGCGCAGTGCTCAGGGCTTGCGGGTGAGGGTCGTGGTGTGGTTTGGTCGCAGACGCAGGGGCTAGTGGTCCTCGGCGTCAGTGTCGCATGAGCGCACTCGCAGTATGGGCTGCAGTCTGAGCAGCATCGGGCGCGGGCAAGATGGTGAGGGTGGATTGAGGGCGAGCTGAGCAAGGACAGAGGTCGGGGATAGGAATCGATTGAGTGTGGTGGAGGAGAGGTGCAGGCGTTGCGTGATTGGGCTACTCGAGACGAAAAGAGGAAGGCGCACTGGTGGGCAATCCCCACTCATGTCGAAACTGACCAGCAGCCGTCGAAGCCTCGAAGCCTTCTGGAAGCTTTTCTATCCGTCCAATGCTCCGCAGCGCCGTCGCACGCCCTGCGACTGCCCATGATTAGGCGGCCGTCTCACCCTGTGCGCGTCCGTCTGCCTCTGCAACGCGACGCTCGCGACGCTGCCAGCCAGACGTTCACGCGCCCGCCCTCCCTCGTGCCCCGGCAGGGCTGCGACGAACCCAGAGAGCCGCTCGGGGAAGCTTGGCTGCAGGACGGCCTCGGTCCTGAAACGCATCCCAGGGCTGGCCCAGTTCCCGCACAGCTGCAAAGATTACATACAGCACGCCTGCCTCTGCTGCCTGCGCTATGACTGGCTAACATCCGCTACTCGTTGTGCGCTGGCACCAGCTCCAACTTTTCCTTTTTGCTATCCCATGCCCGTCTACCGTCGCCTGCATCGCACGCCTGCACCAAGCGCCCTGCCTCCCCCACAACATGTCGCCACGCAGCTTCGTCATCTGCCCGAGAGAACCCAGTTCAGAAGTATTCTGGAAGTGGCGACTCGTGAAGCTGCCTGCAGATCCCACAATTCGCCAGTGCCTGCACGCTGTGGGGGGGAACAAAGAGCCCCTGTTCGGTCCGCTTGCGGGCGATTGCTTGCTGATCAACCAATGCTGATCCCCGCCCGTCTGCCCTCGTGTCCTACTTCTACGACTGCGAGTTGCGGCACACGGCATATGCCGTTACCTTGTCCGACTCTCCATGTCCAACTCGCTTTCTTTCAGCCGCCTCACCCAGCCATTAACACGATTGCGGCAGGTCGCTGCTCTATGCCGAACCCTCGGGCACGCTACACGTAAGCAGCTTGGTCCGTGACCACCACGCAGCCGTACTCGCTCCATACACTGGAATTAGCAAGGAGCTGCGACTACACTAAGAGGGGCCGCTAATAGGGATAACATCGATGCACCCTCCGCTATTCGCTCTCTGGGCTTCGACCCTGCCTCATAAATACAAGATAAGGCCGTGACAAGGCTGCTGATCTAAGTCTTGGTAAGCACGAATCCGGGGTCAACACCTGTCACGGCAATGAATTGTCCCATGGCAAATCGTGACAAGCTCTCGTCCCGCTGCCTCGCGATTCAGTCCGATCCCGGCGCCAAGTCCGCAACGCTGTTACCTTCCAACCAATACTACAATTACTAGGTGACTGCAAGAAATAGGCTTTGCTTGCATTAGTATACCGCACCACTCTGCAAATCAAGAGATGCGTAGCACCACTCCGATCCTTCGCACTCCAGATCGGCCAACGGCCCTTTAGCCTTCAAGCTATCGCTGACTATGTTTGAGGTTTGCAATGCACCCAATTCAGCTGACGCGCTGCAGGGTCGATTGCGCGTTGTAGAGAGTAACCTCCAATCGAACGCTCCGGAGTCTTGGTCGCACGCACCAAACACATGGCTCACTACCTTTGCCATGGCGCCGCCTATTTTGCCTCCATGTCTGTCTCATTTAACCCCTACACAGTATACGTGGAGATTGATAGAGCTGAACGGCCTGGAGCCGTCCAGAAGCACAGATAAATCTTGCTCAGCCAGCTACTGTCTACTCATCGGGCCTCAGCGCGAACCCATCCAGGGACATTCCTGCCTGACGCCCTAGAAACACTCGCTAATATAGTCATCATCTCATCTATTGCTCGTATCCAAGACTTCACAATAGGTTCTTGATACCCAAAGACAGGTACCCTGTCGGTTCTGTATATCCATGTCAAGGGTCGGTCCCATACTCGGAGTTGTCCAGCCTGGCTCTTGACGGACTCTGCAAAGCCCGGAAGCCGAAGTCAATACACTGGGACTTGAGTGATCTAACACTGTAGTCCGTCTTCACATAGCACTTGACATGATCGGATGTAGGAGAACTCTAGTGCTATCATCACGATTGCGGGGACGCTTTTCAACGTCGCTCCATATCGGCACCGCAACTTACCCGGTATCTAGAGGCTCAACGCTTCGCCGCCAAGATCTCCGAACGTATGTTCGTGCTACATCAGAGGGAAAACCCGTGAATGCTACGTAGCAGCGCAGTCTTAATAGCAGGAGTCAGTACGATAGGTGACGCTGTTATTTTAGCTATGGAAACGAGAATGTTGGGAATGGCGGGATAGCATACGAGTGAAGCGCTTCACATGCGGAGTAACGCTCCGCGGTCCCACTAAGTGGAGCAGTGGCCAATTCACATAGCTCCTGAATACCTACCTCAGGTGTCATCTACTCATGTTCTTCGAACTCTAGTTCTTGTACATGGTGCGCATGTTTGTGAGTTCTCGGTTGGTATAGCTGTAGATCAAGCGACGTGATAGTGATGCCTTGATACTCTGAACAGTTATGGTTCACTCCAAGTATACCGTCCTCGATACATTTTACGCCACGGCAGTACTAACAACATACTCATAGTCCTTCCTCAACGGCACGATAACCCCCTGATAGAACCTCTCCCTAAAATCGTCATCATCGAGACTATATACAGAAGCTTCAAAGTTACAATGTATACACCTCTGTGTCGCATCCGCATAGTTCGGCAACTCCCTCGTTCGCAACCCCTCTGCCAAACGATCCGCTATGAGATAATCGGTGAAAGCCGTACGGTTTCCATCCGCGTCGAGGTCTTCTGGAGCGACAAACGTGTTTAAAGGCTTGCCATATGAGATCTCTAGCAAGGCGACGCCGAGAGCGAAGATGATGCTGTTCTTGATGATACGCATCCTTTGGCTCTGTGCTGGTGGTGCAGCTGTGGCAGGAAATTCACGCGATATATAAGGCTGATCCGATAATAATGATTGGCTCAGGATGCATATGTCATTGAGATCCCAGGTTTCTTCTAGCCAGGGTGTGTTGTGGAGGTGGTAGACCGTAGAAGCAAGGGTGAGAGCTAGTGTGCACTTTTCCTTGATCTGAAAGGTTGTACCTTGTGTCGCCATAATCTCCTGTAAGGTGACTCGCTTGTCGGTCGTCTTTGCGCCGGGTAAGTGAAGAGTGTGGATGTGATGTTTGGCGAGCTTGCTGCTCATCACCCCTATGCAGTCCGGGCTTGGACAGCGTTGCAGTGTCGCACATAGATCGACTATATCTGGAGCCCTCTTTAGGCACTTCCAGTGGTCGTGTGCTTTGATGTTCGAGTGGACTATAATACTGGGAAGCGGTGAGCTGTTGTATGGTTTTGGCGTATCAATGACATCAACAGCCTCGATTTCCACTGGAATCGACTTCCAAGGGGCGGTTGTTCCAGCGTGTAACGAGCCAAAAGTAAATACAAGTTTGAACGTAGAAGATTGGCCTGCTTCATCGTCTTTTTGTATGTCAAGACGCAAATTTGCTTGATGTGTGCATTGGCACATGCACCTCGACGACCATCGCGTGTTGAAAGCGTCGTATAGCTTCTCTGCCTGCTGACGAAACTTGATCAGGTACTCTGTGTTGGCTTTGCGTCTTCTTTGAAGTCGCAATGGTTCAAGCGCAATCGCCCCCGCCGTAAGATTGGATATACGGCTAATGTCCTCTTCAATAGATGATAGCAGTTCTTTGTAGTGCTTCGACTTGAACCCTCCTTTTATGCGGATCCAAGGATCATTGAAGAACTTATTTCGTGCCGTTGTATCGACACACCCTGTTGCTATGGTCCATGGTGGCTACTGTATCTTAGCAAATGTTCCTTCATCGTTGAAACACTTCGTACATACCTGGAAATTCTTGTCTAATTGTAACTTGCGCCCGAAAAGGTTGATTTTCTTGTTCAACTGCTTCACAGAAGACTTGAAGGGCAGAAAGTTGTGTCCCAATCGATTGCGCAAAGCATCGCTCAGCTCTGGATTCTCCCATGCTGAACTTTCGCGATTCTCGAGAAGCTGGGATAGTTGAGCATCAGAAAGAGCTAATGGACTCAAAAGCTCTTCACAAGAGTTTCTGTAGATGCAAGCAATAGTTACGAAAGAAGCATGAAGATATCCGAATACTTCCTCGTACTTTTGCATGCTTCTTATGGTTGAGAGCTGGAATGGTATCAGTCATGACGTGTGATGTATTCGCACTACGTACCCCTTCAGCATAGTGCTCCAAAGCTGATATGATCAACGGAATTGATCCCAGTACTACCCCAGCTATCTCAAATCCGGACATGGTGAGGAAGCTTGTGATGCCGCTGATCGGCCAGACTGTTAACTTCGGGAAGATAATGGCGGCATGTATAAGCGATGTAGAAGACGCACGATACAGTCAAAAGGTTCAGATAGTGCCGACTGCTTGATTGCAGAAAGGCTGCACAGAGGATAGATGAGGCTCGAGAGAAGGTGTGTTCTCTCAGCCTTGTTGCTAGGCTCGAAAAGCTCTAGCCTTCAGCTGAACCACGTGGTCTCGTCTACAACCTTGGTCATCACATCTCAGCCTTCTCATCTCATCAGCGCAATCCTTCTTCCATTGCAACAACGAGATGTTGTCTTGCGAAGATGGATTTGTCTATCTCACAAGCTCACGCTGACTGCGTTTCTGTTTTTCTCACGCTCATCGAAGCATCCCACTCCCCCTCTCACAAGGAACTTTTGAATGAGGCGCAGGATGTTTTCGATAGATACAAGCTTTGGGCAGGAAACGTCGGTGCTATACATGGTACTAACAAGTACAAACTATCTCTCGATTACCGGTTAAGAGAAGCGTCTTTCTACAAAAGTCAGGTATTGATAACTTGTTGCATACAATAAGTCAATACTCACCCATCCCTAGGTATTGAAGTTGATGCAGGATCTGCAAACTTGTGTAAGAGACCTGAGTTCCGTTACCGTCCGCTTTATCTTTTACAGTATCTCAAACTAAGGACAACAACTAATTGAAAATGCGGGACTCAGTTGAACAAAGGTATGGTACTCACATCAAGTATATGAATCAAGAGGTTGCTAACCTGATCTCTGTAAGCCTTGTTAATCTTCCGGAAAGAGCATGGAGCGGCTTTCTATCACTCAAATGAAGATTCCGAGCCGTCAAGTGCGAATACGGACGAATCAGACGAGTCTGATTCCCCGTGGGAAGTTTCTTCTGACTCTGAGGTCGAGCAGCGACCAGAACAGAAGCTGCGTCGACAAGACGCGGATCGGAAAAGTGGTCGGCCTCCATATTCAGCGAAGCCAGGGCTGCTGGACTCCACCAATTTTATTGTTGAATGTCTTTGGAGGCTTCCCATCCGACGTCCCGCGCCAGCCGATCGTACGAAGGACAAAAACGTTGCTGATACAACCGGGTACTTGCCATTTGACCTCATGTACGTAAGAGATAAGTTCCCCGGTCTTAACGAGACAGTCGCTGCACGCCTGGCGAAGATGATATCGAGGCGCAGGCAACTGATACGGTATCGCAAAGACCACACTGATGCTTTACAAGAGGAAAAAGCTGCAGTGGTCGATGTCTCTAAATCTGAACATAACAACCTACCGTCCCCTCTTGAAGCCGATGTGGCCAGCGAGCCGACGCCCAGTTTGAAGGCCCCAAGTCAACGTACAGAGCTTACGAAAGCGACAACCTTAAAAATGAATGCTCCCGTGGCGACACTTTGGCCGACGAGTGGACTTTATGCTCAGTCAGTATCCGAGTCCGGATCTTCCATTGCATCCGAGCAGACAGCAAATGCGATTACGATCAGGTTTCCAAATCGACCCAGAACAAAAGGAGGACGAGTTCTGGAACAGTACATATGTCCCTACTGCTCGACTGCTCAAATAACTACGTCGGAACGCAGATGGAAGTAAGTAAACCCATTGGCAGATCTTGGGGATATCGCTGATACATGCGCCGAAGAAAGCATGTCTTGTCCGACCTTCAGCCATACATATGCACCTACCCAGACTGCCAACTCAACGACTACTTCTTCGAGAAGAAAGACGACTGGTATAACCATGAGTCACGTACGCACCGTGTCGAATGGTTCTGCAACACGGCGTCTCACCAGTCTTTTGTCGATATGCAAGAATTCCTGGATCACATGCACACAGTCCATTCAGAACCTCTTGATGGAGCGCAACTTCGTAGTCTTCATCGTGGCTTTCAGCGACCTTCAAATGCGCATTCGGGAACCTGTACGTTGTGTGGCCAACATGCAAGCATACTAAAGTCTCATCTTGCACGGCATTTAGAACAACTCGCCTTATTTGCAATCCCTCAAACAGATTATATGGCTGATTTGGAGCAAGATGACACATCATCTAATGCGGCAAGGCAGGGTATTCCGGAATTGTCTAGTCCAGGCTCGTCGATAATAGCTTGCGAAGTCTCGAGTTGTCAGTCTGATCCGGAAGCAGACAATCTTGAGATCGATCATGGAGAATTTCATACAGGGGGCATAAGAAATGTGCAGCTCCCTGAAGATAACGAAAAGACTATAGCAGATGAAAGTGTGGATCCTGAAGACGAGATAGATACTTCGTGGGATGAGATCACGCCAAAGTTCAAGGAAGCCCGAGCTGCAATGCATAACGACCAGAAAGCAGAAGTCTCTGAGCGCAGACAAACTCCAGATGTATACTCAGCAAGTCCAGAATCTTCTAACGCCAGGCGCGTGGGACCGATGATCACGAGTCTGAACCTTCCTGAGTTACTAGCCCAGTCACGAAGTAGAGAGAGGTCGCAAATCTCGGAGCAAGATCAGGACCTCGCTGAGCCCTCTGCAAAGAAGGAGAATTTGGATATCAATTATCAGCAATATCAAGCAAGAGACATGGCAAATGATTCTACTGCCCCATCGCTTCGCCAACGGGCTGGCAGTGTTACCTCGAGACTCCTCTCGCCTTTCCGCAGCCGGAGCAAAGTTCAGTCTGCAGAGTATCCGCCGATGCCTGGAGAACAACCGAGAAGAATAATTGTTGAACGTGTTCCGAGCGGATCAAATACTCCTCGTCCGAGCGATTCATATATCCCTCGTCCGAGCGGTTCATTCTTTTCTCGTACGAGAAAAGATCCTCTACTTGATCAACCTACAGAAAGTATCACATCGAAAACCTTCTCACCTTCTCGCAGCACCTCATCATTAGTTGGGACAGGAGAGCTACTGGAAGAACGACGAAAAACACGAGTTGAGAACCTCTCCACTACAACTGCAGATACTGATGAGCCAGAGGTGCTCTTCGTAGCAGCTAGCCTTTTCGAGTTCAAAATAGGGCATGAACGCAGAGAAGGCGGAATTCCATATCTGTGGTACGTGCCGGGTGAGGTATTCGATGTTATTGGTATCAAAGGTGAGCTATGGCTTGCGCGAAATCAAGATGACGAAACAAAGACGGTAGGATGGATTTGGGAGAAACACTTTGAGCGACTTGATCCGGGAGACAGATAGTTGGGCTGGCCGATCTGGGAGTTCTGCTTGCGCAGAAGCCCTTCCCACATTAGAAGCACAGGCATAGTAAGAACGAAGTAAGTCGTAAATTCGAATGTTCCAGGCTATGTAGCTCTTTCAGCTCATATACTTCCTCAGATTCGTATGATCTACCATCATTTCAACACGTTGCGTGGTTCAGTCATGATGACACTGAGGAGAAAAGAACCCTTCCTTCTGCAGTTCAGACCGCGTAAGATAGACCTGTCCTTCTGGCTCAACACCATAACGAGCGCAGATCTTTTCACGACCGGCAGGAGCCTCTAGTGTTGGCCACGTTTGAACTGGGTCTCGGATGTAAAGTCGAAGTACGTGACGGCTTTTACTCTCACTATCTTCATAGGCTTCGCGCGCATGCAGAATAGCGAGATTGTTCAAGAACAGGATGTCGCCCCGTTTTTGCTCAAGCTTGACGGCATGGCGAGAAGCAGCCTCGCACATGAGATCCACTGCAGACTTCTGCTCATCCGAGAGCCGCGGTGTATCAGAACTTCGAGGCACAAAGTCAGAGCCCAGAAGTATGCTTCTCACAAAAGCCACCTGGGCCATGCCTTCAGGACAAGCGATAACGGATCGGTATCCCACGAAGGGTTCGCCGGTCTCGCTATCGGGATGTTAGTGAGGTCTCGAGGCGGAGCGGCCAACACCGCGCCCGATGTATGCTTACCCATCTTTCTGTTCCCACGGAAGAGGATCGGACAACTGACGAATGACATCGGGGCTAGTGGATGCCAATTCGTTGTACATCTTCCAGAAGCTAGTAACTAGCTGCATTCCTCCACTTTCCGCAACGTTTTGGGCAAACATAGCAACGATATCTCCACCGTCAACGTCGCAATGAAAGCCCTGAAGACATCAAAGTCAGCTATTGTTGCTAACTAAACACGGATAAAAGAGAATGAAAACTGACTAGGGGGCCTGGAAGTGCTGGCGGTAAGATATTGCCGCGCAGTCCTTTGGCTTTGGTCACGTCGTATATATGGTCTGCAACGAGTTAGGTATATGCCAGTGAATTTCAGAATATATCATACCCAGCTTGCTGGTACGTTCTGGTGCGACATGACTTGAGAGACCTAAGAACATGAGAAGGTTTTCCTCTTCGGTGTATCTCTCTGGTTCAATGCCACGCAAAACGGTGAACCCAGTGCCGTTGTATACATTGATGGAAATGTTCTGAAGCTTCTCAGAGAGGGCTTGTGGAAGTTTGAAGGTGTTCTTCGATATATGCCCTCGTGCAAGGCCGGTCTCTGCCGACGTGTCAGCGTCTGCCTCCAGGCTAACCACTTAGGTAAAGATCGGTAGCCAAGGGATACAAGTAGCTCTTCACACTGACCTTTGAATGTACGGACTGCTTGATCGACCTGCGATATCTCGTCTATGTTAAGCTGGAGGACGTAAAGCTCTGGATTGGCTCCAAAGTCCTTGCCTTCCCATGTCATGGCACCCTCCAAACGGGGAGGAAAGCCATTGGGTAGGACCGATGGTGCGGATTCGTTGCTTGTATCGCCCATGTTCGAACTATAAGCTGGTAGGGCAGAAAGGGAATGCTGGCTTGACGGTGGAAGGAAGTGGTCGGAATGTCCAACAATTGGCGTTGAGAATACAAAATTTGTGAAGCCTTGACTCGATTGAGAGTAATCGTTCTAGGTTCAACTTTTAGGCAACGCACATTACTTATACCCCTAAACTGTTGCGCTGTCCACAAGGCTGAGTGGCGCGTGTCAGCCCATGGAGGCTTCTGCATGAGGGATTCATCTTCCGCGCCTCATAATATGAGGGGATGAGAAAAGCAAATTGCTATAACCTGAGGCTAATGCAGACCAAAGAGAACCGGTGAAAGTGGAGTAGGCCGCTAGGCGCCGCAGGTGTGAAGGCACTGCTGTGAAACATTCCCCCTTGATCACAAGTCATTGGCCTCTCATCCGGTCTAACTAAGTCCGTCGATTCTAATGAATAAACGGAAGTCACGCGGGATATGTTGAAGCCACCGTGGCATGCAAGCGAGCCTCTGGCTTTGCCGTCAACGTAGCACAATTGCACTCGTTGGCCCTGGTGGCAAATTCTTGAGATGCGGTTGAAAGGCTAGCTGCGAAGGTCCTGCAATTCTATGCGGACGATATGCCTATTTTGATGCTGTTAGGTGCAATGATTGGATTCAGTTGGGCCTCGAGCGTCGCGTCTGATCATGACTGCTCGCTTGAATTTCAATACGTCGAAACCTCCCTAGTCCCATCCATGGCAGTATCTATGAATTTACATTACCTTAATTGCGATATTAAACAGTCTTCTCATCTTTAGCATCAAGACTGGCTATCGTTTGAGTGTCTGAATGAGAAGTCTAGTACTCTCCAAGTATACATAGTTGAATCACCTTTAATGATGTAGTACATCAACGCATGACTCCACCAGCGCAGTAGATCCCATAGCAAATACGTAAGACACAGCACATGCTCTACACTGGGAGCTATAGTATGTTCTCAAAAAAACATGCGAGACAACCAAGTGAAGTTTGTCAGCCGCCTAGGTCCTTCGTTTTGTGCGAGCGCCTTGATATCTGGAGATGCAGACCATCTTAGTATATTGGCACACCTATATGTCATCTTGGGAAGTCACGTACCTGGCCGTCGTTGCATGAGGTTGCGAATCCGATTCACATATTCTGACGACTCTGGATCAAGTTCAGCTAAGTCCACCATCTTCCCTCCGTCATCTGAGAATGGTAAATGTCCTCGGATGACGGCTCGAAAGTGTTCGAGGAGGTTTTCGGCTGAGTTATCCCATTCTTCCAGCATGAGTCTTGTCACAAAACTCATGGATGCGAATCGTTGCTATATCAAAGCAGTGTCAGTCATGCATAAGGCTTCGAGACGCCGCATTGAGGAGCATGAGCTAGAATATCAGGATTGAAGCAGTACTCACAGTCTCAAGAAGCTGGCCTTGATGCTTAACCTGCCAAAGATACGCGTTCTCGATCGTCCACAGTACAAGAAAAACGCAAAGGAAAACTTCGAACCAACATTTGAATCGGTCTTGATAGAATATCATAGAGTTTAGTTGTTCCATGGCGTCTTGTTTAGCAACATCGATGACCAGGTTGATGGTGAGGTCGCATTGGTACATGAGATACATGGGTAGCGGGCGATACCCCGGAAAGAAGAAATTCGGATCGTGGATGACTTCTATACCAAGCGCGGTATCGAGGAGATCAATTTGTTGTGAAGCAAACGATTTCACTCTCAGTGCTTGCCGGACAGCTTGACTCTCATGTTTTGTCGCAAACCGGATGGCTTCAGCATACGTAAGTCGCAGAATCTCATCAGTCTCCCACGTCAAGATGTTTTCTTGAAATATGGGTTGACATTCAATCAGGAATTTTCCCACGATATCAGTCATGGAAGATGTGTCGAACTGTAGTAAGTCAGTGTCTGAAACGCGCTTGAGCAATAGAAGATTACCACAGCGACTGGAGGTAGCTTCACCTCCTTCACTATCCCGTTACTGTTCCAGTCTATACCTACTCGCTGCTTTGGTGTAGGTTTGAACATCCGACAATCAAGCACAAACTTGGGTGTATCGTAGGATCGTGGGAACGCATATCCGAAAACGACCTTGTGAATCTTGGTGTCTTCTGCTGACCAAGCTAGCTCAGGGTACGTGGCACGGACTTGTCCAAGATCAGAGTTGCCTGGGAAAGTATGAGCTTTGAGCCGCAAGTATTGGGTCCGCTTCTGTCGTACTCAAGCGAAATGCTACCACGTTTCCCAACCAGCCGCGATAGCAAGGTTGTTTCCAGATGCGCCCTCCTTTCTTCAGCTTCCTGATACAGGTAGAACAGGGAGTATTTTCATCGCACTATTGCTATATCAGCACAGTTCTTCCCCAATTTCAATTGCTTTTCATCTGCTGAAGCAGATTCCAGCAGCTTATTGTATGAACAGGAAAGGCGACTTACATCTTCTTTGTATACACGGCATCGAAGACAGTTAGATGGCTCGCGCATGGCAGGTGCTGGCTCCTGTTTATTCGATTTCGCAAGACGTTTCCTCGTGGCGACCGTCTTCTTAGTCGTGCTAGGCTGCGGAGCGGCCTTCACTCTCTTACGTTTCCGTTTACTCGCGCTAGTTGCTGGATTATCGTCAACAATCCCTAAGGGGCCGACCGGAAGCTGAGCGACAAGCGCATTGGCTTCGTTGTTTTGATCGCCTTGGATCTGATCGGTTTCTGGTATCATTTGGTAAGGGAATTGAGCGATGTTAGCATCTGCTTGAAACGTCGATGTTGGATACGAACTGTCTTGATACGGCGAGGTAGTACTGGCGCTGGGTAAGAGTTGCGTATACGAAGATGCACCGTAATCTGTGGGGGACTGGAGAACGTTGGGAAAGGATGATTCCCAAATAGAGAAATTGTTCGCGTCAGAGTTCATAGTCGACATGGGCATAGAAGGCTGGGTTTCCCGCATAGAGGATGAACCATATGCGTTGAGATTGGCCCAATGTCCAGCATCCCATTGGAAAGGGTCATGCAATGCCTACGAGTATTCAAGGTTAAAAATGTTGTGTCTAGATTGGATTATCTTAGTCAAACGCATACTTACAGTACTTGATGGCGGGTAATGGTTCCCCGCATTTGCAGGCTCCTCTGCCACTGAGCCAAATCCGGCGATGTTGCTATCGCTGAGGCCATAACCTGAACCAACAGCCGGAAGAAGCGATGGAACTAGAGTAAGCGGGTTCGAATGGTTTCTTGGGATTACTTGTTCATGCTGGGCTCCCCCGCTTTCCGAAGATTGCACTCTTTCATCCTCATCCCCTCTATTCTGGAAAGTCATGATATCCACCAGGGTTAAGAACGTCCGGCTTAAAGCCTCGAAAAGTACAGCGAAGGATCTTACAGACAGTGCCACGGTTGTTCGAGGAAGAGAGGGCTGTCTGGTCGTCTGAGGATGTTGAACGAGGATGGGTTTTGGTTTGTTTGTAATATGAGACCTGACCCGAGACGACTCCGCGGCTTCGACGACCGGATCTCTCCAGATACGGGGTCATTCGAGGCTGCTGCCTGCGGTCATCAGTCTCACTGTGCTGGTCGGTGAGTAGACGGAAACTTTTCCCCCTAATTCCCTTGGAAGACCACCTGGGTACCAGGGCAAGTGCTAGCGCATCTTGTCCACCAACCACAGTCTCACGTACGACCGGCATAAGGTGAACCATCCCACCGGTGTTCGTCTTCACGAAACCACCGGCATAAGTACAGTCTACACAGTCTACCAATAGCTGTATATATATGCGATGGAGTCATGCGTTTCCCTAACCCAGAGATACGAAGCAACGCAACGAGTTCAACAAGAAAATCGCCAACCACCAAAACTGAGAAACTCTCGTCATGACCAAGGCAAACGATCAATCATTCGGGGCTTCCGACAACCAGGTATGTAAACTTCCACTAAACCCCTCTACGCCCGCTTCCTATGGGATATGACTAACGCGGTTATGGTGTAGCCTTCCGGTAATAGCAGGGGTACTGTTAGCTTGACAACGCAGAACTGGGGCCAGAATACAGCCTCGAATGTCACCGATCGTACAGGTGCCAAGCAAACTTTCGAGCTGAAAGCGCCTGCTGCAGGGGATGAAGGACCTCGCGCAGCGCCAACCCTCCATCGGCTAACTAGCCGCAGCGTCATCAACCAAACAAGGCAGATTGGCAAACAACAGATGACGAATGGGAATGCAGATTGGGACTTTGATACGACCTACCAACCCGAAATTGATCATTCAAAAGTCGATCTCGACTGGTTCCTGGAGCCATTTGGATCCCACCACGCTGCGTCGAGTCAGCCAGCGTCTGACACTCCTCTGGCGCGATTTCTGGAAGACGAGAACGACCGTTTCGTCAGCCGCTTGATGCAGCTCGAACAACTTTGTGAGGAATGTCGACGCAAACGTATCGTTACTTGCGATCATCATGCACACAGAAAACTTGGATAGGTGGCTTGTGTCGTGCCGGAGGTTGCTATATCGGACCAAGATATCTCAGCTTACATCACCAAGAGGAACAGAAGCATGATGCCGGTGACTCGTGATTCGTGTACCACTATTTACTCTGCTGGAGCTAGATACAATCTTAATCCATCCCACAGACCTTCTTTACTGCTTCTGCAATGCAAGCCAGCATCTGTTCTGGCTTCTCCCACACTTCATCGTGTCCACCATTAATGACTTTGGAAAGTACAATCCTCTGCTGCTGTTCATCCGGTGCGCTTGGGGGCGACAGAATTGAGCCAGTGTTGACTGTAGCTTGGTGGGGTTGTGACCAATGTTTGAGCTTTTCGAGCATCTCCAGAGTCTGAGAGTCAGCCACGACAGTGTCTTCTAGGGAATATGCCAGAAAAGTGAGAGAGATAGGCTTTGCAGTATGATGGTCTACCGTCCAGTCACTTTGCACCTGATGCATCGGGCTTGCTTTCTCCCAAATCTCCCTATCCGAGCCAAATGCGGTCTCCACAATGTCATCGTATACGGATGAGCTGGCTACTCGTAACCATCCTGCCAGGTCGTACACACCATTCAGCCCGATGACACCGAGTGGCGAAGGGATAACACTTTGATGTCGGTTGAGGGAGTAAGTAGCCACTTGAAAAGCAAGAGTTGCACCGCAACTCGGCCCTACGAGAATATATCCCATCGACTGAGAAATATCGTATTGTTTGTACAGATGTTTGATTGCGTAGATAACATCTTGCAGATGATCAGGATGTTTGGCGGACGCAGCAGGGTCCGGCGTCGTTGGTGCATCAGCTTCGAGATTGGGGGAAAGTCGATAGTTGGGAGCAGCAAAACCAGCTACCTTTCCAAGAAAGCTATCTTTGTCATTGGCCATCGTTTTGATCTGAGACATCGCTGGCTCGAAACACTCCGAGCTCTGGAAAGGGTTTCGCCAGGCACCGCCATGTACAAATCTAAGGACCGTCTTGTCAGCCTTGCGCAAATTCTGCTGGCACAGAGTACTTGCACGATCCAGACACGCTCGTTAAGCGGGAATGCTGCCTGTTGCTGCGGAAGCCAGATGTCGATGGTGTGCAGCCTTGTCTGTGGCTGGTCTGGAGGGGCAGGATAAGACACGCTTTTAAGGCATTCGAATGTCATTTTGGAAGACGGGTGTGGTGTTATAGGCGGGTTCCAAGTAAAATGATGATTTAGCTGAGCAAGACGAAGAGTAGAGGAGAAGACCGTCCTAGCCTTATGGAAGGTCATCTTCGCTAGCCATGGAAATCAATATATGCGCAGGAAGGCGGACTGCAATCAGCCCCTAGATATGTATTACATAGCCAATGAATCCAGATGCAGCTTCCGGTCAGATATGCAAAGCAGGCTGGCGTATGAAGCTACATGTTGCATTACAACGGGTTAGTAGCCAGGGTGACCACCGCCACTCGAATTGCACATGAGGGCACTCCCGTCGGTAGTAATTCCTCTGCTCTTGGCACGTAGAGAAGCTAGACATAAAGCATGAGTGCGACATCGTTCAAGGACAATTATATTGCGGTCACAAGAATTCTGAGAAGCGACGCACTTAATGTTTGCAGCGGAGTGGCTGGGTTTTCGCAGACGCGCTATTTTCGCGACACCGAGGGCTGGTACTTGCGTCTTGGCGCTGTACGACGCATTCACCCTGCAAGCCTTCACCACCAGGCACACGTGAGGTGGGAGCAAGCCATTGCGTCGATGCTGTGGCTGCAAATAAGTTTTTCGTGCTTAGACCTAACAATTCTATGGAGATCATCAACGGTATAGAATCTGCTTCGAGCAAGGAAAGCTGTCGTGTTCCCATTAGGAATGGGCTGTATTTATACAACTATGATTGGGTTGGCTTGTTTTTACACTATGATACACGTCTTGAACACGGCTACACGCGATCCTGCTGCAAGACAACATCCCCGCACCTTCCACAGACCTCCTCACGCTCCTCCTTAACGAAGCGCCAGCACCTTGGACACTTCTCTCTACTAGGTGGATGAACAAGCACTTTCGCCGTACCAAACACTCCGCTATCGCTCGAAAGTGCTTCTTCCTCATACCACTGTAAATGCTGCTTTACCGCGTCGGGATCCTCGGCTGCGAAAATGCTGTTCGCAGGAGCGGAGGAATCAGACAGCGTGCGAAGGTTAACCTCGCTAATGACGAAAAGGCCAGCAAGTTGAGTTTCGACGTCCATGGGCCTGGGAGTGGAGGGTTGCAGGCACGCCGAAAACTCCGCGTGCAGCTTCTCAGCATTGGAAGCTGGTAGATAGACCGTAGCTGCGCTCTCTAAGCTCGAACCAATTTTCTTATCTGCGCGGAGACGCTCTTGCGCAATTTTGATAGCAGCTCCCAATGTACTTGTAGTCTCATTCATAGACTCCAGACATGCCGATTCAGACTCCTTGAGCGCAGGAAGAGGCGACCAAACTGCGCGTGCAGGGTGACTACTCTTCTCTTTGAGCTCAGCAGGAAGATGATCCCAGACCTCTTCTACAAGCAGCGGACACACTGGAGCAAGCATCTGCAGAAGTTCGTAGAAAATGAGCCCCAAAACACGCTGGAGCGTTTCGCAGTCATTCTTATCGCTAGTGTAGACGCGGTCTTTGAGCGTTTCAAAGTAGAAAGCACTCAAATCCATGGAAATGTACTTGTTGATCGCGTTGACACCCTTGAAGAACTCATATCTTCCGAAGTGGTTGTGCACTTCCGCACTGACCTGTACAAGTCGATGAATGGCGAGGCGATCTGTGAGTTCTTTGAACTCAATGATACTGGGTGTGAGCTCGTTGAAGGAAGTGAAGGGCGGCGGGCAAGATGGCAGAGAGAAGATGCCTAGCAACCATTTGAAGGTAACACGGTACTTATGTAGAGCTTGGTTTACGGACATCAAGACAGGCTGGCCAATTGTGACATCGCGCGTGTAGTCGCTACTTGCGGCCCAGAGGCGAAGCGCATCAGCGCCCATAGCATCATATGTTGGCGTGTTCTTTGCTGCGGGATCTTGCTTGACGCCCTTCTGCTTCTTCCGCTTGACCGGTGGAAGGAGCTCGCCTGACATGATCTGCATTGGAGAGATGACGTTACCAAGAGACTTACTCATCTTGCGACCATCGGAGTCGAGCGTGAAGCCGTGAGTGATAAGAGTCTTGTATGGTGCTTTGACAGTCTCGGTCGAATAAGACTGGGTAGCGACGTGTGTGAGAAGTGACGACTGAAACCATCCGCGATGTTGATCGGTGCCTTCAAGGTAAACATCGGCAACAGGCTTATCCTTTTGCTCTGGAAGAAGCTTCCAGCTGGTACCGCTATCGAACCAGACATCCATGGTATCTCTACCACGCACGTACGTTCCGGTAAGATGCTTCGGCTTCCAGGCTGGATCATCTTGTGCATCCGTCCACCACGCGTTGATGCCACGTTCTTTTATCACTTCAATGACATGATCGATGGTTTCAGAGTCCATAGTCGCTTTCAGAGTATCGCCCTCGACCTTGTATAGTGCAGGGATAGGGACTCCCCAAGCGCGCTGTCGCGAGATACACCATTGGCTTCGTCCCTGGATAAAGCTCTCAAGACGACTTCTACCAGTCGCAGGCATGAAGTTGACATCAGCGATCGCCTTCATCGAGGCATCCTTGATACCCTCTACGTTCGCAAACCACTGCTCGGTAGCTCGTGTGATGACAGGCTCCTTGGTCCTCCAGTCGATGGGATACTTGTGGCGGTAATTCTGCTTGCCTCGGAGCATGTCGAGCTTCTGGAGATAGTTGCACACAGCATTGCTACCCGATTTCTTGATACCAGCAACAGGCAGTCCTTCCAGAAGCTCGGGCTGTTCCGGGAAAGCATCCTTTGTAAAGGCACCAGCATCATCTATAGGCGCAAAAGCTGGAACGTTGAGCGACATGCAAACGTTGTAATCGTCCATACCGTGTCCAGGAGCGAGATGAACCAGCCCAGTACCCGAGGAGTCAGTGACAAAGTCCGCATGAATTATAGGCTGCAGTCCGTTTGCCTTCTGAAATGGATTCTCGTACTGCGCCTGTTCGGCGATGTCTGATCCGCGCACATCTGCTACAACGATCTCGAGCTTCCTTTCAAGGATTTTCTCATATTCCGCTACTCGTGAAGCCGCAACAAGGATCAGCTCGCCACCTTTCTCAGCGTCCTTGACTACACAGTAATGCATATCCCTGTGCACCGCGATCGCCTTGTTCGCGGGTAAAGTCCAGGGTGTGGTTGTCCAGATGACTACACTAACCTCACCGTCAACACCCTTCAGCGCCCCGTTCTTCAGTGTCTCCGATAGGTGTATAGGATACCGCACGAAAGCAGCCAAGCTCTTATGCCCCTCGTCATATTCTAATTCAGCTTCCGCAAGCGCTGTCCTTGAGCTTGGGCTCCAGTATACGGGTTTGAACTGCCTGTAGATCAAGCCCTTCTCGAACATGGCCTTGAAGACCTCCAGTTGTCTAATCTCGAAACCACGCTCCATTGTCTGATACGCATTGTCCCAGTCGCCCATGACAGCCCATTCTTTGAATCCCTTCTTCTGTTCCTCGATTGTCCGGGTTGCCAATTCGCGCGCTGCGTCCCGCACGCTTACAGGATCTGCTTGCGCCGCATCTTTCTTTTGCGCCTGGAGAGCCTTGATCTCGATAGGCAGACCATGGCAGTCCCAGCCAGGAATGTACGACACTTTCTTTCCTTGTCCAACCTCATGCCTACAGATGATGTCCTTGGTGATCTTATTCAATGCATGGCCAATGTGCAACGGGCCATTGGCGTATGGGGGTCCATCATGCAGAGTAAAACTCTCTCTCGGCGCACTGCCTTCTTTCTCGCCATTTTGTTCATTCAACCGCTTCTCCAAATGTCCATAACGTATAACGCGTTCGGGGCTCGCCTGCCACGCATACAGGTCATCGGTGCATCGTTTCAGGTAGGTTGGGTTCGTTGACGCTAACGGTCGCGGCGGAAAACTAGATTTTGGTAGTCGGAGGGTGTTGGACCATGATGCGCGGAGGATGCGTGTTGGAGTTAGCATAATAGCATCCTGGGCGGGCAAATCGGCGGGGAAGTGGTGGTTGGAGTTCCAATATTTTTGGATCGACCACTCATCGGTGATGGTACGGCTCGGTTCGGTGATAGCACGGAGATAGAGTCTTATGCTGCTGGAATTTACGATACCACAGTAGGATAATGTTGACTATGTAGACTCCGCAAGTAACACCAAGGCATGAATATCATCTACATGTGAAGTCTTCCAAAACTTGATCGTCAAGATTGGTTCAGATCCATTGATGTAGTAATAGCAACCCATGGTGACCATACCATGTACCAGTCTGATACTTGTGCTACATATCCAGCACTTATGCCTCGAGCAGACTGGCTTGTGTGCGTAACCTCGCCACACTACGTATTATGACAGGCTGTCTCAGTATACGGTCAACGAGCTCACAGCTCCGTTCTTCAACACTTCGAATACCATGCCCGGAAAGCCAAACAGCTCTACATTTCCAACATCCGCAGCACCCTCCATCAAGACACTGCCAGCATTCGCAAACTTGCTCTTCTTCCCAGAGCTATCCTCCCATCCTCCAAGTAGCTCACAACTGCTACCTGGACTGTCACCCCAGCCTCTGTTCAGGGCCATGCCACGTTGCTGTAGTCTCTCCTGCTCTTCGTTCTCGTAATATGGCTTGAAGACTTCCTTCAATCTGCCTGAGATGTCTCCAAAGCCCATTTCGGAACTGAGGGGATCACGGTACATAGCTGAGGGCACATGCTCGAGCGTCCATCTGCTTCGTCTATGCCGATTAAACTGATAGGAACCAGGCACGTTACCATGGAATATGATCTTAGTCGCAGTAAGATGGTTCAGAGGTTGCGCGCTGAGCTCGCCTTGGCTGTGCAGCTCCGACTCCCGTCTCTCTGCAGTAGGAGAGGGTGGTGAGATCTGCGTAGGCTGTGAAATCAAGATGTCGAAGCCGTGGTGGTAATAGTTGTAGAAGTGCTCGGCCGCTGCAACTTCTCGCTCCTGAGCCTCTAGTGCGGCTTCGTCATCATCCTCCCATGCATCTTCGTTATCGCTTCTGATCACCGAGCCGTGGTCTGAGTCATCGTCTGGAGTAAGTCCGCCAGGCGAGAGATCCGATGCATCGCTCGTCCTCCGATCTTTATGTATCGATAGCCGATGATCATTCTTGCGATAGATGGAGTCGGGGGCGCCAAGCTCCATGATCAAGTCCTGTGGTGTGGTTTCGCTAAGAGTAATCCAGAACGGAGGACTAGACCGCCGGACAAACTCTATTCTACCTTCTCCGTGTACTTTGACCGTTTCGATCTCGTCTGGACCACCATCTTTTGCTTTGCCTAGGGCTAGCGATCTCGGATTTGGCGGTGTTGCTGTGAAAAGCGTTCCACGAGCTTTCTGCCACGATTCACCATTGAACACTGCCATGGAAGTCGCGGGACCTGTAGCCGACGAGGACAGGAGCGAGATGAAGTCCTTCTTCGGGGAGTATGCAGAGTGCTGAACCGAAAAGTTGAAAGCTATTCCCGGATACGACAGGTTGTAGGTGCCTCTGGCGTTTGGGTCTTCTGACTTTGGGGGTATGTACTCTCCGCCATACGTCGGTCCTAGAAGCTTGTCGTAAACATGCCGGAACCTTGGTCCTGACACGCCGCCTGAGAAGCCTACTTCACCGGGTTTATACACCTCGATATCCTTGTATACCAACTTGGCTTTTGCGAAATCGAGCACTTCGATGAGGCGCAGCCGCTGGTCAGGGCCGTCGAACTGTAGTCGCAGACCGTTGTCCGGAAGAACGACTTGGACGGGGGATGAGATAGGTCGCAACTCGTCGTGGTAGAGCTGAAATCGTGGAAAGGCCTTGACTTCGGCTTTGATAGTCGTCAGTACTTCGTGTAGGGAGCATCCGAGAGCTGTGTTTCAGTCAGCGTGGTAACCCAAACGATGGTCGCAACGGACTCATGAACCCTACACTGCGCCCTGGCTGGAGCTGCATAACTCCATCCTCCATGGTGAACCTTTGGTAAGTGTATGAATGTAGCAAGTAATCGTGGTGTGTTTGTTAGTCGATGTGCTGCCTAGCTTGTAGATAACAGGGAGCTCGCACGCGCGTGCTATGTCCACGAGGACAGGGCGACGGGTATATCCTTCTAACCCCCGGAACACACAACAAAGATCAACGCAGTCGACTCAGAATAATAGGATAGTCGGTATTGCCACAATGCGCTATACAATCAGGTACAATCCGCGACACTACGGCGATAGATGAGGGGTGGCGGGGCAAACGTTGAGGTATACAGCGTGTCTCTTGCGCCGTCAAGGAGCCCCAGTATGCTGCATAACATGGAAACACTGATTGATAGATAAGGTATATCACATCAGATCAAGGCATAAACATACTGTGTAATAGAGATATGCAAGTCGTGTTGCATTGACGTAGCGCGAGGTGTTCGCGACGGCTAATAGCGCGCAGTCCGTGCCTGACGGATCCCTGCGCGCATGTGTTTACCGACTGTTTACTTTGCTGCAGGTTCCGCAACACCAGACGCATGACATACTAACCCAGCACATACACGTTCACCCTACCCAGAACGTCAATATGTCTGGACTACCACGACCAGGACCGCCGGTCAAGCGGAATACGAGCATGCGCCCTCCCACGACGCGCCCCCCTCATCTGGCGCGTGGCCGTTCGGCAACACCTGCGATGGACGGCCGCTCCTCGAGAGCAGAATCAGTAGCCTCTGCGAGGATACCACGATCGTCGCCCCTCAAGCGAAAAATCGACTTCGACGGCGATGGAGGAGAGGAGACAAACATCAACGTCGTCGTCCGGTGTAGAGGGCGCAATGATCGCGAAGTGCGCGAAAACAGCGGCGTTGTGGTATCGACCAACGGAATCAGAGGCACAGCCGTAGACCTTTCCATGGGTCCAAGTGCGCTGAGCAACAAGACATATCAATTCGACAAGGTCTTCTCCCCAGCAGCCGACCAGGCCATGATCTACGACGAAGTTGTGGCGCCCATTTTGGATGAAGTGAGTTGGGACGAGAGAAGTACGATGAAGTTTGCTAATAGCATTACAGGTCATCAACGGCTTCAACTGCACAATCTTCGCATACGGTCAAACCGGTACGGGTAAAACCTACACCATGACTGGTGACATCTCAAATGTCCTCCCCCTTCCAGATGCCGCCGGTATCGTACCACGCGTCCTGTACGCGCTCTTTGAACGCCTCGAAGCCGACGAGATCGACAATTCGGTCAAATGTTCATTCATCGAATTATACAACGAAGAACTCCGCGATCTGCTATCTCCGGACGACGCGACGAAACTCAAGATCTACGACGACAACAGCAAGAAGGGCTCTACCACAACTATGGTACAGGGTATGGAAGAGTGCCATCTCAAGACTGCTACTGAGGGAATCACAATGTTGCGCAACGGAAGTCACAAGCGACAGGTAGCTGCGACCAAGTGCAATGACCTCAGTTCGCGAAGTCACACAGTCTTCACCATCACTGTTTACATAAAGCGAACAACAGAGGATGGCCAGGAGTATCTCAGCGCCGGAAAGCTCAACCTCGTCGATCTTGCGGGTAGTGAGAACATCCAACGCAGCGGTGCTGAGAACAAGCGCGCAGCAGAGGCCGGTCTTATCAATAAGAGTTTGCTAACATTGGGCCGTGTTATTAACGCGCTCGTGGAGCGCAGCTCTCACATTCCGTACAGGGAATCAAAACTGACCCGTCTGCTACAAGATTCACTGGGTGGTCGCACGAAAACATGTATCATCGCAACATTATCGCCCGCAAAGAGCAATCTCGAAGAAACGATATCCACCCTCGATTACGCATTCCGCGCAAAGAACATCCGAAACAAGCCGCAAATGAACCAGCCCATCAACAAGAAGACTCTACTCAAAGAATACACCGCCGAAATCGAGAAGCTAAAGAGCGAACTGATAGCGACCCGGCAACGTAATGGTGTTTATCTCACGCAGGAGAACTACGAGGAGATTACCACAGTCAGCGAGTCGAGACGAATCCTTAGCGAAGAGCAACGCGACCGGCTCGAAACCATGGAGGTCAACCTCCGTAATAAGGTGGAAGACTTGTTCAAGCTCACAACCAACTTCCAAACCTTGAAGAAAGACAACGAACAGACGCAGTTGGCTTTGGACGGCACTAAGGGTATACTGGAAAAGACGGAGATTGTTCTGGAGCACACTCGGGAAAATCTGGCAGAAGAGACGGAGTTACGGAAGGCGCACCAGAAGACTGAGCAAGAGCTGGCAGAAGTTGGAAAGGACATGATCTCAACGCTCGGCAAGACTACATCAGCCATCGATGGTCTGCGGTCAAAAATCCGGCGCAAGTCAGAACTCCAATCCCAGAACCGACGGAATTGGAGTTCCTCCCAAAGCCAGGTTGTTGATACTACTCGTATGGTGGAGGATCGCATTGAGGAGTTCCAACAGCAACAAGAACAACTGATGAACGCTATATCAGAACGTATGCAATCGTTCGTCAGAGATGAGCTTGAGAAGCTTGGCACTTCGCAATCCTTCTTACAAGAAAAGATGGAGGCTTACCAGACATCCGAGCAAGAAGTCAATGGTCAGACTGTACAAGCACGCGATCACATGAATGAAGTTCTAGAAGAAATCAAGACTCTTCGTGAAGATGTCAAGACGAAGATTGGCGCAGGGCTCGATGAGTTGTCAGCGGCGGCAGAAACAATCTCTGCCAACATCATCACAGAATTGGATGCCTTCCATACCCAGGTTCACGCATCATATGCTGGACTAGGCCGCGACTTCAAGACGACTTTCGACGATTTGGTCAAGAATCTGAGCGAGCAACAGACTGAGAACGAACGGCTCCACCAGCAAGTGGTCGAGGCCAACGCAGCTTTGGTTGAAGTGAGCAAAGCTTCTCAGGGTCAGCTAGAAAAGGTCGTGAATGAGGAGAAGCAGAGGTCGGCCGAAGACCGCCAACAGCTGCTGTCGCAGATTACTGCGATCGTTAACGCGAATGCTGATGCGCAGGAGAAGAGACTGGAAGAGAAGCTCCAGTCTGTGCGAGCGGAGCTGAATACTGCAAATGCTGTATTCGAAACGAAACAAGATGCCTACGCCGATGGTGTTATTGCGTGGTCAGATAAATCGAGAGACATCCTCACAGGTGTTTCGAAGTCAAGAGATGCTGTCAAGACCAAGATCAAGTCAGACTTTGCAGCTGCAACTCAGCATTCCACCTCGATCAAGGACACGACTACATCTGTTCACGAAAGCACTGTCAAGACAGTGGAGGCACAGATGGCACATTTGGACACTCAACTCCAGGCTCTAGACGATATCGTGGCCCGAGTCCGCGAACAAAACAACACCCATCACACGGCTCACATTGCGTCGCTAGGTGCTTTGTCGTCGACAGTGGCAGCTTCCTACTCTAGCATCGGTGATCATCTATCTTCATCATTTGATCGGGTTCAATCTCTCGAATCGGACATGTCAGCACAAGCAAGTACTCTGAAAGAGACCTTGCCAGCACTTGCTGCAGACGCAGACATTCGTGCGCCGCTCCAAGAGCTTCGTGAGGTCGTTGGTTCCCAGAACTTGATCGAGTACAACCCCACTGGCGAAACACCCCAACGCGTCTCTTACACTTTCCCCTCAACTCTGCCACGCACCGAAGCACACGAAACAATCCTCTCTCGCCTCCGAGACCGCCCCACAACTGCGGATTCTACGGCGCGCAGCCCGTCCAAGCAACCTATCTTCAATGACGCTACAAACGCCCTCAGTTCCCCGACCGACTTTACCTTCACGGCTAATAAACTCAACTTCTCCCGCTCCATCAGTGCGCACGCCCACACCATCTCAAACATCCCAACAGGCAACCCCACTTCCTTGCGGGAGCTAGATGTTAACGTGGTGGCGCAGGAAGCTCATACCCAGCCTCTTCCCCATCTCGTATCCCAATCATCTTGCGATTCGCTGAACAATGGCGCTCCTCCAAGTAAAAAGATGCGAACCAACGGCGATGATGGAAGTAAGCTTCCCATGAAGAAGGTGACGAGGAAGACGGTCGGCGTTGCTGGCGACCGTGGTGACGTAGAGAACATCACGAATTTTGGCAATAGCGTCGGCCCTGGACTTGCAGCAGGGAGGAAACTGAGGAGTCATGGAAGTACTTAGTTACTGAGACAATGGTTTTGTATAGTGTGAGCGTTTTGTTCTACTCCTGTTCTAGTCTCGTTTGCATAGTCACGGCGTTTGGTATGGGCTACAGGACAACCATCATGTCAACTTCTTCTGCTACTGGCGTTTGGACAATGGGTTCAAAAGGCAGAGCATACGTAGGCGTAATGTCGATTAAAGCTTTCCCACCTTCAATGGTGTTTTGTTTCATGCTACAAAACGTTCCCTGCATGTTCTAAGGACCCCTCATATTGTGCTGGAACTATAACACACATTCTAAGAACTTCTAGCAATATATACAGAAAATTTGAATGCATGACTCATGATTCGTAGCCCATTTCCCTTAGATCATTACCCAAAGAACGCCCGTCCTGTATCGTTAGCATCGATTCACAGTCATCAATTATCAAAGAACGCCATCTCCTTATCCATCAAATCATCCACCTCTTCCTCCTTCAACGGCACCAAGTCCATCTTGAAATGCCAGTTGTGCCAGCCAATCTGGCGGCGATACCTCTCGATGTATCCCTTCACCATGTCCCTCCACGATCCTTTCCCAAGGCCAGCTAACCTCTCGTCTCCCTTGTCAACGACCTCCGTCTTACCGGGCGCAGCACCATCCACAAACTTCACTCTCTCAACACTGCCAAACACATCCCTTAATATCCTAACCACCATGGCGATATCCGCTTTCGGTATCCCCTCAATATCAACAACAAGATCCAACAGATGCACTTCCTGTGCCAGAGCGCGCAACTGACAGCGCCAGAAAAGAGGTAGTCCAGAACCTCCATTCGGTTGCGGGGGTTCCAGAAGGTCAAAAATGGGATCTGCGGCTAACCAGCGCACGCAGTGGAGTAAAGCATTCTTCCCAAAATGGAAAGCCAGACGCCGTATCTGAGGGCGATGAACGGGTCCAGATTGCCAGAGGAAGTTTGTAGTACCGCTTAAGCCAAAGTGAAAGGTCGTGCTGTGGAATATATACGGTTGCATTGTGGTGTAGATATGGCGTGAGATTCGTAGCATGGTTGATAGACTGATTGGTCTTTCGGTGGCTTTCGGGTTATTGCTGCAGTTTCTGCGTGGGTCGTTGGTGAGATCGCAATCGCGTGTCATACCGATGGCTGTCATGAGGATCATTTCCTGTAGCTCGGTGGGCAGGCGTTGGAAGGGATGGAAAAGCGGCTGGATGGGTACTGTGTCTCTATCGCAGGGTGGTGGACCAAGAGCTTTGGAACGAACGCCGAAAAAGTGGTCGGCCGTGCCCGTGACGCAGTTGACATTCCGGCCTGGGAAACGAGCTGCGAAATGCGAGAAGTAGAGTTTGTTTAGGTAGTCGCGTGCCGAGAGCCAGCCAGAGCCGTAACGGATGACGAGTTTGTAATAGTAGCTGGTCGATGGATTCGGCTTTGATGGAGACAACGGCCAAGCATCCTCTTCTCTGGTATAACACTCTTCTCGGCGCTCAGAGAGCCTCATATCGCTTCTGAATAGGTCCATACTCTTGCTCTTCATATCCCGTTCAAAATGGCTTGTCGTGCCCTTCTTACTGTTCTTTTGCGGGTTGAAAAGTCTAATAGCAACAGTCTTCCTGAAATCCGTAAAGCTCGAGTCGGTCAGAATACAGGTCACAGTCTTGCCCAGCGCCAGATCCTCATTCGCACCAGGCTCAGGAGGAAGCAAACTTATCTTGCCTTGGAAGAAAGTGCTCGAGTCGTGGCTCAAGGACCATCGTTTCAGGTGTTCCAGGAATAATCTTCTCTGCTGTTCCTGGGCCCAGAATTTGTTTGACGGATTGCGAGGAAATTTCGTCGACGGTGGGGTCTTAGGGGGTGCGACCGAGGTTGTTGGCGTGGCTGGTGCTAAAGTTGCCTTCGGTGTTTTTGGGAGGCTAGTGTCGCAGGTGATAGGTCCGCGAGTCATCTTGGAGTTAGTTGATGTAAGACCAATCTACGTCAGTTGGGTCGTGTATCAATCCGGTGAACTTCGGAGAAACAGTAGGCTTGGTGGGATAGGTCCGGTGATACTCCCGAGGTCGGCAGAAACTAATCTCTTCGTCCGCGTATGCTCTTTGCCTTTCCACCTATACAATGATGGGGTTCTTAATTAAAGCGAAACACAAGGCTGATTACAAGACTTTTGCTTTTTCTGGAAGGAAGGGTCTATGCTGGATGCACCTTGCACAATTGCAGACGAGGAGGATGAGAAGCTTTGACCTTTGAAAGCAAAGTCTGAGAAGGGCAAAGCGCGAGTGTCAACACGGGAATAGACGGAGCCTCAGAAACCAACGAGATGTAAAAGGAGCTGTCAGATGAGCGTAGACTAGGTGGCTGGACTGTTAACTTAACGGTTCTCTGGACCCTGTGATGCGCACAGCAAGGTCATTGTCTGCTTTAATGATGCACGGTTACGCAATGTGCATGAAAGCGGACCCGATGCCCCCAGATCTGCGAAGCGGCCGCTAGACCGAAAGGAAGCAGGCACGCGACTACTCCTGGTAGCACTGCAGCAAACAGGACTATCCGCAGTCTAGACCTTGTGAATAGCTTTTCAAATTTCGCTGTACTCGCGTTGAGGCAGTGCAAGATGAAGACAGTGAGATGTAAGAACGACAAATATCATATCAAAGGTGGCGGTTTTGCCGGGTATCGTAGCCGAAAGTACACAAGAATAAACGCCATACAGCTATTCGCTGTGCAATCAGGCTCTTCCTTCGAGCCAGCCTGCAGCTCGCTCCAAGAGCCCGTTGAGTCCCTTAATATTGGCAAGAAGACCGCCACCACGCGAGGCAACATCATTTCCTACTGTTTCCAGTAGCATGCCAAGTGGAATTTGGGGACCTTCGTTTTCTCTACCTTCCTTACGTGCCTTATCACGCCCATTCTTTATTGCAGCCTCGATCTCAAACATGTTGTCACTCAGGGTATTTCTGGCCTCAGCTTCGGCTTTCTCTGCGTCGTAACGTGCTTGGATATTGTCGTGTTCGATAGCAATCTCTTGCCTGCTGTCTTGCAGACTGAGAATTTCCTTGCGTAGCTCGGCATTGTCGCGTTTGAGCAACTTGGTTTTCTTGAAGTTGGAGCTCAGGAGGTCGTTAGCATCCTGCAAGTCTAGCAGCTTCTCGGTAAGGCTCTCCTTGAAGGACAATGAGAGGTTGATCTCGGTCCGTAGTTCCTTACGCCGAGCGGAGTCTTGTGAGGCTTGCAGCTTCTCGGCCATACGGCTGAGACGTTGGTCGATTGTTCCTTCTAGGATAGTACGCGTAGTGTCGGCCACTGTGATGCCTCGAACGGTAGAGCCTTTAATACGCATGATAGAGATGGTGTGCTTCGGTCCTTCAAATTTCTGGCGTTTGCGAGGGGGCTTCTCCGTCGTAGATTTGACGCGCTGCATCTGGTCGGGAGATGGTTTGCTTGTCTTGGGCCGTGGAGAAGGTTCAGCTGGTTCTTCGACTTCCGATTCTTCAACTTCTGGTTCTTCGGATGCGTTGGAGTCTTCATCCGCACTGGAAATCTCTACAACATCCTTTTTCCGGGTTCTCGATTTTGGGGGATGTATGGGCGTTCGTCCGTGGTAAGGGGAGAGTTCGTCGACAACCTCTGCTTCTTTCGCTGCAGAATCCACGCCATTTGTTTGATCCGACTGGTGCACACGTGGCGTTGTTTGAAGTTCGCTTTGCTGGACTGCAACTTCTTTCCTTGGTCTGCCACGCTTAGTAGGTTTGGCTTGAGGTGTCTCTTCTTTCTGGATATCCTCTGCTACTCGTGGCGGCCTTCCTCGCTTGGCGGGCTTCCCCGTAGCGGGTTCCAAAAGGGCTTCCTGCTCCGCAGTTTCGTTCTCCGAAATACGTCGCGGTCTTCCGCGTTTGGCCAGAAGCGGTGTAGTGGTTTGCTCCACAGGTTCATGCTCATTTATCTGTAGCGTTGATATGCCGTTTGCTATTGGTGATATCTGGATTGGAGTCGGTTGGCTGGGTGGAGAGAGCTCGTCTACATGCATTTCTGTCTCTGCTTGTGTCATTGGCTGCGGCCGCGGTTCGCTACCAACCACTCGTGGGGTGGATCCATTCAGTTGTGGCGATAACTCATCTTCACCATCTTCGTGCAGTGGAGCCACGGTTGGTGTTTCAAGAACCGTCCCGGACTGTGAGGCGGACGATGTTCTCGGTTGCCCGTTCGGAAGCACACTGGGTGTGGCTGGGCCAGGATCCGTAGATTTGGATCGTCTTGATGTCGATGGCCGTGATGCGACCGACGCTTCCTCGACTCTGTCGGTAGTGGGCGTCTTTTTGCGGGAGCTTCCAGGGGACACGCGTACTTGCGACGAGACTTGTGGAGGCGTCCGCTTGACTACTGTAGATCTGGCGAAGACTGCCTCGCGTACAGTACTGGTGCCCTCGTCCAATATAGATAACTCGTCTGGTGCATTGTCTTGCTCCTCATGTATAGGTAGAACCGTCCCGACGACTCTCCTGCTCTTCTCGACAGAGCGCACGGCCTGCTCCCGATCAGGACTCAGCTCATCTTCCGCCCCATCGTCTGCGCCCAGTTGCGCGTTTGGAGAAGCCCGCTTCCTCTTGCCTAACTGCGGGGTTACCGTGTTATCTTTTGGCGTACTTGTCCGTTTGGAAGCACTGTTGCGCTGGAGCGACGCGCTTCTCTGCCGCTGTGCTGAGCCATTTGCAGCGCGAGGGGTACTTTGGGCTGGTGTTGGACGCGGTGATGGTTGAGGCGCAGGAGCGGGTTGTTTGGCTGGTTGGGAGCCAAGAGCGCCGAAGTTGAAGCCAAAAGAAGCCTGGACAGATGAGGGCCTGTGGTTGTCAGCGTTTGCGCGTGTCGGGATTTCTGAGATTGTCTTACCCTGCACCGCGCACGCGTTGTTGTCGATGTTCGCGGCGATCTACGAGCTTGTAAGCACTGGTCCCAGATGCAGGGCTATGGAACAACAAGACATACCGACTGGCGCCATAACAATGTCGGTCGTAACAATTGTCGGGGTTGGTGTCGTCTCGTCGCGTAATCGAGTCGATGTTGTGAGACAGACGCGCTAGAACATGTCCCAAAGCTCCGACTGCCGAACCCATGTTCACTGTCCCCGCAACTTGGGAACTTTCACCTGCTCACCGCGCCAACACGAACCAAGACATACGCCGACGCAACCATGGGCTGGCTCTGGGGAAGCGGCGATAGCTCCAGCGGGCAAGACCAACTCGATCCCTCCCTCCGCGACTTCCTCAAAAAAGAAGCGCCCACTGGCCCCAAACCCTCACTGCCGCCCGCTCCCAAAGGAAAGCCCACCGAATCGCCAACTCAGACACAATCTCAATCGCAGCCGCAAACACAAACAGACGCCCAAAAACCCGTCGTACCCCCGCAATCGCAGTTCCAGGATGGCCGCTATGCCGACTTATGGAAGAATTATACCCCTCAAAATATCATCGATGATCGTGGAAAGTCGGAGCAAGACCGGTTACGAGACCTCGTAGACGCCTACAACGACCGCAAAGCCTCAATTGGACGAGTAGCCATGGAAAACTGCGCACTCGAGTACATGGAACAATTTGAGTGCTTCCGGAATCCAAAGTCATGGTGGTCAGCAGGAACCATGTGCATCGCCGAGTCGCGCAAGTTCAACCGCTGCTACGATATACAATCCAAGTTTCTGAAAGCGCTGGGATACATGACCATGGACGAGCGATCACCAGAGGAGGACGAGCGGATACAAATGCACGCAGATAAACTCTACCAGCGCATGATACAGCAAGAAGAGGAGATGGAGAAGGCGAAAGCAGAGGGGCGACCAGTACCGAAATTCGAAAGCATCTTGTCGAAACGAAATGTCGTCGAGGCGGTGGGTGGCGTATCGTCAACACCACGGAAAGCTGTACCTGTAGCTGAGATTGGCAAGTCAAGTACCACTTTGGATGACACCGAGGTCTGGAGCCAGATCAAGCCCGATGTACGAAAGGAGTACGAAAAGAAGCTTCAGAGTTTGACACCAGAAGAGCGAGAGATTGAGAGAATGGCCATAGTAGGTGAAATCCGCGCGCAGACTGGTGTCTCAAAACAATTGGAGCAGACATTCATCGAAGAACGGGTAGCTCGTATGAAGAGAAAAGAGGCTGGTCAAGCGACGTTCGGTGATACGATAAAGACGCTGTGGGGATGGTAATGATCATATCTTCAACAGTGTAAATAGGCTATGTTTTGATAACGTGTATGACCATTTCATGATACAAACAACGACTTTCGCCACTGCAGACAGTACACCACAGACATTCCACCCATCACGCTTGTTGCGCCATCCTCACATTCACGTTCAATGGTCCCTTCTGCCAGAGCGTAAACACAGTCTGGTCGAACCAATCCCCGTTCCCCTCAGGCAACTCCAGATCAAAGTTCCACAGTACTTTCGTAATAATCAGTCGCATCTCATGGTACGCCATGCTATCGCACCAGTCAGTCAGTCAGACGTCACAATCGTATCTGTTGCAAATCTTACTTCTTGCCCAAACAATCTCTTGGGCCTACAGAGAACGGCTGTAAAGCCGCACGATCGTCATTTGCGAATCTTGCATCGTCGGTCCAGCGTTCGGGGATGAAGCAAAGTGGATCGGTGAAGTTTCTAGCGGAAGTGTACATGGCGTAGTGCGTTGCTGAGACGATGGTCTTATGGGGTAAATGAATTAGCTAGGCTTACTTCCTTAACGTGATATATGTAAACTTACATTTGGTGGGACAAAGTGTCCACATACTGTCGATCCATTGCTAGGAGTCAGATGCAACAATCCTACTGCAACAGGCGGATACAGCCTAAAAGCTTCTTGAATACATGCTTTGAGGTAGGGTAGTTTTGCGATAGCCTCCATGTTGATGCTTGCCTCTTCTTGAAACGTGGTTCTAATCTCTTTGACAAGTTTCATATGACATTCTGGATGCGTCAGTAGCAGGTAGGTCAGTCCGGTCAACAAGGTCGCCGTAGTTTCTGTACCCGCTACCATGAACGTAGTAGCATTGCTATCCATCTCCCCCCTCTCAAGACCCTGCTTGCCCTTCTCTTCCTGATTCAGCACTAGATCCCATAAGTCAACCCCAACCTTACTCTCTCTCCCTTTCTCCAATCTCTTTGTGACGCGCTTGCTGGTTGTGTCGAAGAGCCGGGATCGCGTTTTTGAGAACAAAAGTTCCATGATGGGCTTCAGAACCTTAGCAGCGAGCGGGTAGTTTGATACTATTACATTAATCCGCAGGCTCGCTTTCATGAAGCCGAGAACGGTACCCACCCATGGGTCGTAAGTACCAGTTTTAAGCATATGCAGGGACTCTCCGAAGGTAAGGTCACTCATCACGTCAAACGTTGTGAAACTGTACAAGTCGACCACATCGTATGTTGCAGTGCCGGTAGTGCTGGAGACGGTTCCATCTTTGAGAATCTGTACCAAATCGTCGACGTACTTCATGAACAGTGGCTCTTGCGCTTTGATAGCGCGTTCCGAGAACGCCGGACTAAAGATCTTACGTACGCGAGCGTGGTTTACATCGTCTGGATCTTGGAGTAAGGAAGGTACGCCGTTAGGATTCGTACCGTAGCGGGGCCAATGTTTTGGAGGCGCGGAGCCAGGACCAGTTTTGGACCCGTAACCGTAGATATCACTAAATGTACGAGGTCAGTGATAATCATGTTCTGTAGGCTTTGAGATCTTACCGCCATGCTTCAGAGTTGGTGAAACTGATCTCGTAGGGTGATATGCGCACAACATGTCCATATTTGTTGTGGCAGTCAGCAACGTAGAACGGCAATTTACCCGTAAATGTAGCGTAGAGTTGCTAAATATGAGTCCATAAGATTAATATACCCCTCACCCCGAGTTCGTGAAGGCACACTTACTGGTATGCGGGTGAAAGCGGAAAATCTTGGGCCGGGGAAGTGGCGCAATGGATGGAAGTATAATCGGTATAGGCCTTGGAGGACCCATCTTGTGAAAAACTACTGCTATATCAGACTACTATATCGAACCAATGGTCATGACTGTATTCCTACAAGAACGATTACAGTAATTGAAATCTGCAAAGCCGTGAGGTTTTGAAGGATCTTAGGAAGCGCTGAGCTACCCTTCTCAAAGGTCGCCATATTGGGCGTCTAAGTACGGACAAACAATGTGACAAGGTCGCAAGCTATCGCCGTCACTATTCACTGAATCAAAAAGCTTTGTGTTGTTCCAATAGATGTTGTAGTAAAGTATGCAATCCTGCAGGAGTTTGCGAGGCTGTTCGAAAACTGTGAGTTGACACTACTGGAGATAAGAGTCGATTTGCCCATCAGGCTTGTACTCGGGAGCCTTTTTCTTCATATAGGTGACCGCGAGAGAGGTAAGAGCTAGCGATATCATCACTCTGCTGTGATAGGTCATAGAACATGCTTGGAAGCCACTAGCAAATCACACACGACGTGCTGTCAGCTACCCCAGATGCGTCTTGTTCTCAATACATACAGCGACCAGCAAAGCAACCTTGCTGATATGCTTACATCCCGCCAGCATCCGTTGGCAGTCCATATCAGCTTCGATGGCAGCTATCAGCAGGATTCCGCCTTGCGTGAGATTCATTCCCACGGCGATCAGAGGGCCTCCAGTGCAATACAACTAGAGCGATTCAATCCTACTATTCACCAAAGCCAGGCCAACGAATGTTGCCCTTAAGAATCTAGGCCTCCAGCAGACTCGAAGGCCCATCCCCAACATCGTAAGATTTATTCCGTACGTGCGTGGACTTGGCGTCATACTCCCTTGCATGTTAAACTGAAACTGAATGCAGCCATTGTACAGGCTAACCTCGCAAGTGCTTATGCGTGTTTCCAATACCTTTGTAAGCCAGTTATATGCTTTTGGAATTGGTTGCGTTTTCGTGATCGCTCAGCGATTCGCTGAAGATACAGTGGTAAAGTACTGCCAAGGACGAAAGACTGAGCATTAGGACACGACCAGAAATGGGATATTACTTGCAGGATGAAACCAGCGACAAGAAAAGGAAAGGGTCTTAGGGGAGATAGTGCTGATGGCGGCTAAAATGTAGAGGGCGCGGATCAGTCGTCCGGCTGGCCACCTAGGTAGGAAAACGGTCAAGGGCATATACTAACCCCCATTCGTACTAGTGCCACATCCTGCACTGCCCAACCCCCGCCTGTCGCTGCAACTCCGTCCTGAAACCTCCTTCTGTGTTGACTTCTGTAGTCACAGCACGCATTCAGAATGATATATAGACCTTCGATAGTAATAATCCCGCATTGTTCACAAGGAAACGCATCAAAATTGCACAGCACCTACTTTACAATGCCGCGTCCAGGTATACATAGAATCAGCTCATGCTTCTTAGCACCACTTGGAAAGGACCGTCAACCAACATCGCGTCAACTAACCTCCAAACCCGATATCCATATGTTCAATATAATTCGAGATCACCAGTTCGAACTTCCCATCATGACGGAGTCCTCCCCTGAGGACATTGAAGACGCATTCTTGTCATCGATTACATTCATCATCATGGGTACCATCTTTCTCCAGTTCCTCATCGTCTACCTCGCAATCGAAATAGCGTTTTATATTGTCCAACGATTGGAGGGCACAGAGATCGATTGCGAGTTAGGTGAGATCGATGTTGTGCGTCGCAATGAAGTCGATACATGGCTACCCGTTACTGCTAAACGCGAGCCCTGCTTGGATACCTATGTGGTGCACTCAACACCACCTCCACCTTACAAAATGAGTCCACCACCTCCGCCTTATAAAGATCTTGATGGTCTGGATGTCCTCATTGTAGAGCTGGAGGATGGCGACAACAGATAGAAGAGACTTCATGCTACATTAATGATACCCCAGTAGACCTTGGATTCGATTGAGACCTACTCTGTGTTGGTTATACTCAAGTGCTTCTCTATCGTTACGATTGCGGCTGCTAACCCATGTCAGAATTGCTGCTGCATGAGCAGGGTTCTTTCTCCTACCCATTTCCGTTAGTGCATATAGCTTTTGCTTACTCACGACTCATCTTGACATGATACAACACCGACCCATAAACCTATGGTCTCTCACTCGTTTCGAGTTGTGAACCTTTGCACATAACACAACCTCCCTCACATCGTTTACTTCTTCTCTCTTTACCTTGTCACTTACAGAAATGTCAACCCCCCAGTCCCGTGCCGAATCCCTAACACTCCTCAACCTCTCATCCATCTTCGGTCAGAAAGACGTATCAACACGTATGCAAGCCATCACCGATCTCTGGGTACCAAGCGCAGAGGTACTCTTTGTAGACGCACTAGGTGTTTTCAAATCACACGAGGCCATCAGTGAAATGGTGAACAAAATACAAAGTATGGGCGAAGCGGGCGATGGGTTTGTTGCTCTAGGTGAGTTTTCAGGCCGCAATGAGTCCTTGACTGGTGAGAAGAACTGATTCGATATTCAGATGATGTTGAGTGCTTGAAACATGATGATGAAGATGACGTGTGGGTGACAAAGGTGAAATGGGGTATCAAGAGATCTGGCAGTGGGGAGATGGCGCTGGTGGGTGAGGATATCCTGACTATCGTAGGTGGAAAGATTAAGGCTTGTTATACGTTTTTGGACTCGAAGTAGCTCGCACTGGAATCAATATGTGTAACCAATACTCAAGCTAATGGCGAGAACTTCACCAAGCCAGTTTTTTACTCGCATCCCTCACTCTGCTTTCTTCTTTTTCTAGGTATGTCTCATCATCCTCTTTCTCCATTAATTCAATGAGAGGAAAGACACTATCCTGCAATGCCAATAATCTTGAGCGTTCCTTGATACGTGTGTAGAACACAGGACAGTCTCTACTGTCACATTTAATTTCCTCGCCCCAGGCTATGTTTGAGCATCGCCGGCACACACTTTCAACTTGTGATACACGTGTCTCAGTATCCCAGACGCGATACTTCAACGATAGTAGCGAATGCGCAGGACGCTTGAGACAGCTCACACATAGTGACAGCATGGCGTATGGCTTGACTTCGCCGCGTGGAAACTGTGCCGGTGCGGAAGTAGTGAGTTTCGAACGGCAGACCATGCAATGTGAGGATTTCATGTAGCTCTCCAGTGTTTTCTTGAGAGATGTGTTACCACCAGCGTGAACAGCATTGCTTTTATCATTTCTGAGAGCCATGGGAATTGAAACGTTGCGGATGCGTTGTGTCTTGGGCATCTCGTCGTACCATTGCCGTACATTGGCGCCAACGAGGTTGAATATGCGTTCAAGGGGTGGAATCAGGTTCTTGCTGATGTAGTACTCCGCGTCGAGCTCTAGATGATCACTCTGAAGTAGGGTCTCGGGGCTGACACAGCGGTCGATAAGGCGGGCTCCAGGTGCACCAGTGATGACTACGTAGGGCACACGTTCGCCATACTGAGGCTCGGCACGCGGGTCGGCGAGCATTCGTTTTGTGGCAATAAGGGCACCGGGTGGTGGAGCACCTCTATCAGAGTATGTGCCCAGCTTGACTTCTTTGGCGAAGAGGAAGTCTTGGATGCTGATGCGCCCTTCCATGATCTTTGCGCATTGTTCTTGGAAGTAGCGTTTTACTTGACTGAGGTCTGCCGTGCGGAACAAAAGCTTCAAGGCTTTCTCTTCGATCTTTTGCTCCGCAGGTGTACCATCTCGACGGACTGTTTCGATTCCCTTGGCGTCGAAGTCCGGCTCCTTCTGGTTTCGGTGCTCATACTTGAAGCCTACGTAACGCTTCTTCGCAAGTAGAACGCAAGGATGGTATACCTTCTCGAATTTAAGCTTGATGGGTCGTGGGTTCGCTGCGGTGATGGCTGCAGCAATTTCCTCGCCAATGGTGAATGCCTGGTCCTTGGTGCGTCCTTTGAGGTGGATAAAAAGTGAATCAGTGTCTCCGTAGACGACTTCTGCACCCCACTTCTCAGTTGCATGGATGATCGCAATAGCCTTCTCGAGGGTCTCGCGACCAGTCTGGACGATGCTGTCCGCAATCTCTGAACATGGCATGCGACCGGAGAACGACGCAGACGTATATCCATAGGTGACGTTTGCTAGTAGCTTCAATGCCAGCTGCCTGTTGTTCAACAGCTGTTGCAATGCTTTATCGTCTTTGTCCTGCTTCATCCCGCTCTTGACCATCACGCGAGTCTCTAAGATCTCACCGAGCATCTTCGCTAACAGCGACTTCCGCATCTCTGGCTTAACGTACATCATACCGTTTGGCGCAATGTTGATGTGATCTTTCACCAGCTCCAACAATTGCGGCTCGCGCTTGAAGTCCATAAAACCCATCTTGTTCTGGCCTCGCCAGCTGACAATACGTCCAAGACATGTTGAGTAGCAATAGTTGTAAGCGATCATCACACTAGGGTACAACGATTGGAAGTCCAAGACAAGCACCGGGCTTGAATAGAATGCGCTCTGCGGCTCCATCACCAGAGGTAGACACTCAAGCGCATTCTGTTGACCGACCTGCTTTCGGCTTGGTGAAACAAGGATGAAGTTCTCGGGCTTTGCGATACGGAACATGGTAGATTCTACCTTGAACTGAGAGCCTCGCGAGATGACTGCGAAGAAGTCCACGCCAAGCAGACGAGCTTGCTCGCTAGTTCGAGGCACGGTCTCGTTGGCTTCCAGAATGCCGAAATTAAGTTGTACGCGTGTTAGAAAGTAATCGATCACTTTTGCCAGATCCCGTGGCTTGCCGCTTAGATACCAAGTCGTGAGATCAGAATGCTGGTAGTGTGGTATGCGCTTGTGGAGTAAGTGGAAAGCTACGTTCTCCAAAGTGTACTGAAGCAAGTTTAGCTCTCCTCGCATGGCTCTCCAAATATTGATCATATGGCGGCCAGTGATTCGAATAGTCGAAGTATGTGTAAAGCCCCATCGATCGGCCTCCTTTCCGAATCTGCCATGGGATTGCGACTTCATCCTGCTGATCTCATCGCACAGATTGTACTCGTACTTCATCCTCGCACGTTCTATGAGGTAACCCCAAGAGCTGTTGTGTACTTCGTATCCAGTGAGTATGTCCGGATCGAACTGGCGGACGATATCGACTACGCGATTGATCAAATCCAGCTCATCTTCCTCGTATTCCACCTCTACTGGGGCTTGCTTAGCAACTCGTTCAGCGATGCCGCCTTCGTCAGAGAAGCACAAAATGCCGGCACGTGGGCGGTCGGTAGTCGCATTTTCCTCACCCTGCACGCTCCAGAAAATGCATTGGATCTCGTCCTCAGCCGGGTCTGGTACAAGGGAACCTCTGGAATTCACGTGTACTTCTAAGCTCATGATACTCATGTATTGAGACTCGTGCTTGACACTGGTCGTATCTTGTTTTAGAGAGTATTTGAAGCCATGCGGATTCTTCTGTGTTGGACCTTCGATTTGTGAAAGATGACTCATGGGCTTGAACTTGCGTGATGTTGCTGGCGTCAGCTCTTCTGCTTCGGAGTTGGACTTCGCTACCTTGCGTGGCTTCGGTCGCCGATTGTTCCATCTCTCAACTTCCTTAAAGGTAGGTGGAGGTGTAGCAAGCTCCCAATGACGCAGGCCACAACGACGTGACCTTGCTTGGTTCATTGTAGTCTCCTTGCTTTTGTCTACCACAGCAAGCGGATACTCTCCGATGTTGGCAAGAGACGCACCGGTGGGGTCGAACGGAGGAAGATACGGTAACGTAGTGTTCTGTAGGATGAACTCTTTACCCGCATAATTTCTCGGTCGATCCGGGACATCCTTGTCCTTGCTGTAGTAGGCATCCTGATAGATTACTGGCGGAAGTCCAGCATGCATCCAAGTACCTTCGACAACCTCAACCGATGGAGGTAGAGAGCCATAGTAGACAGTTGGATGCACGTGCTTCTGTAGTTTTTCCAATCGCTGCACTAAAGAGGCTGCTTGAGTGCGAGCTTTCGGGGTGTTGCTATTCAGCATCATAGGCGAAGTCTTCTGGTGTGTCCACGGAGTCGTAGGGGAGTGTTGCGAGGCTTTCGCCTCAAGATACTTCGGTCCGGGTGTCTTTGGTCCTTCTTGTGAGTTTGAATACCTCGATTGGCTCAAGCGAAGTATCGTCCCCGGCGCATTCGGATTCTTCACTACGGGAAACGAAAGTGTAGTAGGTCCTCCCAGACCCTGAGCTTTAGTACTTCCTTGCGAAGCCTGAACAGGGTGCTGCGACTCTTCATCCTTGTTAAGGGCATTGCGAAACGAAACGCGTTTGTTGGTACCCGGGGTTACGGCTGCTACTCGTTGACGCTTCTTGTCTTGTTCGTCTATAGAATCAAGAGAGCGCTTCCGCGTATTTATCGGGCTACTGAGTGATTCGCCATCATCGTTCGGATCGACCAAATCAATGCCTTCGTCGATGAGCAGATCTTCAGCTTCCATGTCACTAGAGCCGTTGAGTAATGATGCAGTCAGGGGATCCAGTGATTGTTGCTCTTCAGTATCGGACTGATTACCGGCGTCTATTGGATTCTCATTCTGCTCGTCGCCAGTAGTGGCGTCACTGTGCAGCTGGTTTGGTCCCGGTTCATCGAATGCCGGCCGGGCTCCAACATCAACAGGCGTACCATCGTCTTCTGTCAGATAATCATCATCTAGCTCGGTCTCATCATTTGGGAGTTGTTGTGTAGAAAGAATCTCGGGATAGAGATCTTCGATGCTCTCTACAGCAGTCCTAATGTGTTCTTGACCAGCGACAGGCTTCACGAAAGTATCCAGTCTTGCTTCTCCTTGTCCTCGTCTTTCCTCGACAATCAAGTTTTCGACAATTTCTCGATATTCTTCTTCGTGAATCCATCCACCCTTGTTTGTGTCCCGTTCATCCGCCGACATTGACACGAGAACTTCAGCAGGGAATGGGCTGCTCGAAGGATCGGAAAGACCCATGCGACGTTTTCTCCGACGAGTTTCATCTCGCCATAGACCAGCCATTGATGGCACAAACTTGTCGTCTGGATTGCGAGGCAGTTGGCTTGAACGTTCCAGAAAGTCATGATGGATGGGTCGATATTGTAATTCGTGCCGGTTCAGAATGTCTTGAACACATATATCGACCTCGAGGGCGCAGTGGCTTTGACGCGGATACTGATCCTCATCGGCCATGAATTCATCAGGAATAGAGGCATCGTGCCACTTGTGCACGGTGACATCTACCTCGTCACTGTCGGGAACGGGTCCTCGGAATTGTACCTTGCCGCAGTTGATGTAGTCACACCCATACAAGTTATAATCACACATCCATTGCAGGAGGTATTGTAGGTGGCTCTCGTATGGCTGGAACACCTTGTTCAGAATTGCTCCCTGATGCAGAAGATCGGTGAACCGCGTCATATGCATAGGATTGAGCATGTAGACTTTCAAAAAGGTCTTGTACCCGACGTTGTACCCAAAGAAGGGCACGCCTTTGACGAGGGAGATATGGCCAACGTATATCGACTTTCCATCGTATGCGTTACGTCGGTAGGCGGTGGCGAGAGCGTGGTCAATAGAGGTACGAAGGTCGAGGATGTACGCATTTACTAGGAAGCGTCAGTTTTGTTCCTGTCCAAGGGCTATGTTGTACCCACCAACCTCGCTCTCCAAACTGCCACTGTACTCCAAATAC